CAAAACTCAAAATCAAGTAAAATTAAAAACACAAAAGCGACTAAAAAAGAAACTCAAAATCTTCGATTAATTATAGAGATTAATCTAAACAAAGACGATTATAGAAATTCAGAAACCCTAAGAAATTAATTCGATGAAGAAGAAGACTACAAATCTACAATTAAAAAACCTAACCTAAACGCGATTTTAAAACTCTCGAAACGCTACTACATAAGAAAAATTACTAATCAAAGAGAAAAGATGAATTATGGAAACTTACAGAGAGATCCGGCGAAGGACTCGCTGAGAAATAAAATAATCGAAATCGTCGCCGGCGAAATTGCAGAGAAAACAAAAAATTTGAAACCTTTGAGAAAGCTTTGCCTTTACGAAGCGTGAAGCCTATTTATATTACTAGCGTTTATAGCACCGCCTCTTCAACGGTTACTTGCACACGTGCGTAGACTACAACGGTTACTTCTATCACACGTGCCGTTTCTCGTTTTCAAAAACAGGTTTTATATTTGTGCGTGTGAATGTGAGACAGCAACGTTAGGGCTTCTCATTGGGCTTAATTGGGCTTATAATGGGCTATTGATAACATTGTAACTTATACAAAGTGCTTGTATGAAAGAAGCTGTATATGTTATCGACACGTGTCCTGAATACATAGGATACTCACACGTGATGTACATACCGATCGCACGCACAAGATCTTTGACTTATGATCTTCACTTTATCCAGTAGAGAGAGACGTTTCACATGTCGACACTTGTCTATTACTTATTGGTTTTTGGTCAAGCAAGCTGATTACTTTAATATAATTATCCTGATTAATTATGTTAATTTTGTTATATTAATTTTAATTAAACTAAATTTTTAATGCGACCGGCATAAATGGAAGCAGTGGGTCCTTGTTGTCTTCGCACTGCCCCGCAAAATCTGTGCCTCAAATTCTCATAATTATTATAATCACTTATTAATTAATAGGGTTTTTTTTTGTTAATACGTACTCATTACGGATTTATTATAAGTTTATGAAATTCTTATAATCGTCTTCACGAGTACAATGATTTTGTTAGTGATGATCACTGATTCATTCATTTCGATTGTGTTATGTTTTTTCCTAGGTTTGTATTTGTATATTTTCTTTATCAGAAAAACAAAAATTCGTATCTTTGGCTTTTATGTTAAAACTCATTTTATTTTAAAATTAATATTACCACTACATCTATTGGAAACATGAAAATATCATATTTCATTGTAAACCAAACACACGGCAAAAAAAAAAAATTAAATTCAACCTTGTTTAATATTTTTATTTGCAGGCGTATTAAATTTATATCTTTTGTGTTAAAGATTTAAAAAATTCGATACACTTAATGCTTGTTACAATTATATATTAGCATTAAATCTAATGGAACTATGAAAATAGCAGACTTCAGTCTAATCTATACAAAAACCAAGAAAAAAACTAATTTTTTTATTTTTCAATCGTATTTATTATATATATATCAACTAATCAATATAAAAAGAGTTTTTTTTTTTTTGAATGGTTATAACTTCTCACATGGTTTTTAGCCATTGTTTTAGATGGAAGTTTTTGGGCTCAACTTCAACCTTAACCTATATAAACATATATATATATATATATATTTTATCGTCTTTAGATTTATTATTTATTATAGCAGTTTATGAAAGATAGAGCTATACATATATTTTTTTACTTTTATTTTTATTGGAATTTACATATAATTTTTTATTTTTGGTCACCAGAATATACGTACTGTATACTTAAATGGCAAAATACAGTCCTTAAATTTAGCTATAATTGGATGAAAATGAAAAAGACATGCGTACCTTAGCCTTTTTTGTTGGCCACGTCTTTCTTTTAAAACACAATGTGTAAAAAAATATGATTATGAAAGCCTCTACACTAGCTATAATTATAATGTGTACTATCAATATTCAATACACACTCATTATAATTTACAACAAATGAGAAAATAAATGCATGGGAGTCTTCTTAATCTTATATTTCCTCTGTTTCATTCTAAACGGTGTTTAAAGTTATTACATACATATTAAGAAAACATATCATTTCTCTTGTTTTCATAAAAATAACATTAATTAAAATGAATTCAACCAATCAGAAAATAAGATGTAAATATGATTGGTCAAAAAGTATTAAACACATTTAATTTTTGCATAGAAAGTTGAGAATATCACTTAAAATGAAACAAATTTTTTAGGCTAAAACATCACTTAAATTAAAACAGAGAGAGTACTAAATGCTACTCCTCTGTTTTTGGGTAATGATTTCGTGATCGGTAAAATTAAAACTGTACAATTTATATATATTTTTTAAAAGAATGTAAAGTTAAAAGAGAATAATATTTTGTTTTTAAAAAAAAAAAAAAAAAAGAGGAGAGAAACAAAAAAAAGAGTGGGAGACAAGAGGGGGGGAGATAAAAATGGTAAAGGAACGGGACGGTGACGTATGATGTGAAAGAAAGGAAGAAGAGGGTGATGATGGAGTTAGGTGACAGGCATGTGAAAACAGTAGCTGCTGCTGCAAAGCCTGATTTGTTTTGTTTTGTTTGGTTTCACTTCTTCCTTCATCTTTCTCTCTATAAGCGTGCTACCACCGTGTGTCCCTTTGATCATGACCTTCTTCATTCAATTACACTATTTTACACACTCACTACTTCACACTTGTTTTTTTTTCTTATTATTAATTCATTCCTCTCGTTTTCATACTGATCCTGTTCTTTTTAGAATTTTGTTCCTATTACCAACAGTTTCTATTATCAAAGTTATTTTCACTTCAGTTTTCGTAAATTTTTCAATGGTTATTTGGTTTTGTTGATTCACATAAATAGTTCAACAATTTTAAACTAATAAGAAAAAAAACTCAAACAAGTGAAAGAATTGATATAAAAGCTTTGAATGGCATTTGCGGATTAAATAATCATCGTAAAAAATCACATTAGTTTTTAGAACGGACATAAATCCGTCGCGAAACCATTTTATTTCTAAATAAATGCAGTTTGTAGTTATTTTATGACATACTGTATCTTTTATTTTTTATTTGTTTGATTCGCGTTGCTAAATATTATAATTAATGACTTATAATGGTAAAATAAAAAACGGTTTAATTCATAAACGAATTAGTCTATCTCACCGTCAAAACCAATAGAACCTCTAATTTCATTGAACCGTTTAAAGATAAACTTAGTTTCCTTAGATGTATTGGTACATTTTGTTTTTATTTAAAAAATCTAAAACTTTTTACTATTCGAAGAATTTAGTTATTTAACCATCCCTATATTAGTAAAAGAGAAGTACAAAACATAATACGGATCGGGTCAAAATTAAAAAATTAACCCGATTTTAACAATTGGATACTTTAAAATTAGATATTAAATTGGGTTTGGATACATACATCGGATACTTTCTATATCTACATTTCAAATTATATTATTTCTATAACTAATTTTATGATTTCCTAATAAATCTCTAACTAAACAATTATTATTCTTCTTTAACTTTTATTTGATATTATTTTTAATTTATGATATTATACTATATAATAAAAATATTTAATAAAAATTGAATTATTTTTTGTATATGTTGCAATTTGAATTTTTCAAAACGGACATATAATATTTTGGAGAATGATTTAAAATCAGTATAAGTATGACCAATATTAAAAATTTAAAACCATTGTTACATGAGCATATTTAAAAGTTTCAAAAGTTTTAAAATATTATAATTAAAAGGTTCAAATATATAAAAATTTAGAATTTAAAATATTAAAAAAAAATATTGGAGACATAGATGTAATTTTGGAGACATAATTTTTATTGATAAAATATATTACATATTAAACTATGTAAATTTTAGATAGTTTGCGGGTAGTTTGTTAAAATCACAATTATAATTGTAAAGCGAGTTATGAATATATTTTTTAAATGAATTTGGTAACGGGTTGGTCCTTCAAAAAATATATTGTAAGTATGTAATTTTTACATATATTCCTACTTCTACTACAAAAATGGTCAAGTTGAATAATTTGTCGATAAATATCCACTGTTTTTTAATTGTATCAAAACTCAATGTATTATTATTTACCCACTTTTCATTTATTTTTTTTATTTAAACTTATTACATATATATATGATTCACCGTAATCGACTGCATTTCAATAACATTAAAATGTAACATATTGTAATCCGTTAAAGATTGTATATACGTAATTATTTCCCCCGCGCTGTAGCGCGGATCCGAACCTAGTTAGATCACTAAACAAGAAAACAAGGAGTAAATTAGTAAGAGATTGTTTTTTTTTCACTGATTAACTATTTGGTAATTTTCATATAAAAATTTACCCCATGAATAATTAATGCTCTTATAGCCGATAAAAAAAAAGAATAATTAATGCTCTGTCTTACTTTATTTCATATCCATTGTAATTTTTTTTTTCATTTGGAAATATGCATATTTTTAGACAGACAAAATTTAAACCGATACATGGTATTTTTAGACCACTCAGCCTCTTTAATTTTGAATGGTCCCATTTCTATTAAAATCGAAAATCATTTACATATTTACAAAAAAAAAACTGATATATTTATTTCTGTTTTTAATTTTTTAATAATTACATGTAATTATAATTATAATTAGTTGATAAATATAATAGTTTTATGAATAAAAATAATAATAAACACACGCATGTTATTTGTGGACCTTTTTTGTAATAATAATAATTTTTTTTATGTGTTTCTTTTTACAAACCAGAAACCTGAAACCATGTTACCTGTAACAACGACATGTATTAATGAAGATCTAACGACTCAGAGTCTCTCTCACTTACTCATTCTCAACCGTCAGATGTTCTTACCGTACTCCACACCGCATAGTAACATAACCTGTTGTTTCGTTAATGCCCATGCTTTTGTAGTTTATTACCGAAACTTGCCACTGCTTCCATGTTTTTTTGTTTTTTCTCCTCTTATTCTTGAACATTGCGCTTTTTTGTTTTTGCTTTTTTTTTTTTGTTTCTCTCTGGTTCATTTTCCATGGAAGGACCTTGAGCTCTGCTTCTCTTCTCTCGTCAAAGTTCGTGTCTTTCACTACTCACATGTACACACTCTCTTTCTCGTTTATTTGAACTTCTCTGTTTCTTCTTCTTCTCTCTCTACTCTCAAGGTACTTAGTTTCAGTTTCTCTTTAAAAGAAACTTTTTTTTTTGGAAATCTGCTTCTGTAATTTCAATTTCAATCTGGGTTTGTTTGTGTCGTTCTCGTTGCTTCTCTAGATTCGTTATAACTTGAGTTTAGGATTTTTTCTTTTTTTTTCCTAGACTAAGTGTTTTAGGTGTGGTTTTGAGCTGAGTATTTGGGGAAATGCAGAGAAAATTTGGGTATGAAATTGTTGTTTCTTTGCTTCATGTTTCATTGAAAGTGATTAATTTGAGGAAAAATGAGTTCTTGGGATGAAAAAGTTGAATTTGGACTATGAAAACTAGGTTAAAGTTTCTAACTTTATTTTACTTGTTTAGCAAATTTGACCCAATTCTTTAGCTGAAACCCTAATTTTTTTGTGGTTCTTCTTGGCTCAAAATCAGTGATCTATGTCTTCTCTTTAACAGCTTTTTATAAATTATATTGTCTTAGAAAATAATGGTACTTGCTGTTTTAGCTTTGTTGAGATTGTGAATTCTGTTCATGCATATATAGAAATTGGAGATTTTTGTGCAATTGATTTGATTTTGGGTTGTTGTTGTTGTTGTTGTTGTTGTGATGCTAAGCAGATAAAAACAAGTCCTGAAAAATTAAGATCTGATGTCTTATCGATTGTTAAGTGTGGATAAAGAGGAGGTGGATATATCACCTGGTTTGAAAGAACGTAACTACTTGGGCCTCTCTGATTGCTCCTCTGTTGATAGCTCAACCATTCACAACCGTGTTCCAGATGTTGAGAAGAGCAATCTCATTTTTAAAGCTACTGAACTGAGGTTAGGTCTTCCTGAGTCTCAATCTCCAGAGAGAGAAACTGACTTCGGTTTGCTTAGCCCGAGAACACCTGATGAGAAGCTTCTCTTCCCGCTGCTACCTTCTAAAGATACTGCTTCTGCTACTATAGGGCACAAGAATGTTGTTTCTGGAAACAAAAGAGGGTTTGCTGACACTTGGGATGAGTTTTCGAGTGTTAAAGGATCTGTTAGACCTGGAGGAATCAACATGATGTTGTCACCGAAAGTTAAGGATGTGCCAAAGAGTCTTCAAGAAGAAAGATCCCATGCTAAGGGTGGCTCGAACAATGCACCAGCTGCCAAGTGTGTATTAAATGATAACCAGTTAATGAGTTTTATGGTTTGTTTATGATGACTCAAGACTGAATCTTTTGGTAATCTGTCTATTGTTTACAGGGCACAGGTTGTTGGTTGGCCTCCAATCAGATCATACAGGAAGAATACAATGGCTTCTTCTACTTCAAAGAACACTGATGAGGTCGATGGGAAACCTGGTCTTGGTGCTCTATTTGTGAAAGTGAGCATGGATGGTGCCCCATATCTGCGAAAGGTCGACTTGAGAACTTACACTTCCTATCAACAGTTGTCTTCTGCACTTGAGAAAATGTTCAGTTGCTTCACTCTTGGTGAGTATTTTCTATGTATTGAGCAAATCCTTGATTACGTTTTAAGAAGAAATGAACAAAATAAAAAAGTGATTTCGCGTCTTGTCTGTGATCCCAGGTCAATGTGGACTTCATGGTGCTCAAGGAAGGGAAAGAATGAGCGAGATCAAACTGAAGGATCTTCTTCATGGATCAGAATTTGTGCTTACTTACGAAGATAAAGATGGTGATTGGATGCTCGTTGGAGATGTCCCGTGGGAGTAAGCTTCTCTTGAACTCGTAACTTTAGTAACTTTGTGTGGTCTTATGAGTTGTTGCTGGTTAATTTAGAAGAACATCAGATCTTTAAAGTTGATTCATACTACTGAAAATTTTCATCTTTTAATATATTTTTCTGCGCAAAAGTTTAATGAATCCTTCTTAAAACCTATTTGCAGGATATTTACTGAAACATGCCAGAAACTGAAGATCATGAAGGGATCTGATTCTATTGGCTTAGGTAAGCCATCTTTGCCAACATCTTTTCCCCTTACCTTGAATACATTACTCAGTGTCTCAACTTAGTGTTGATTTCCTTGGTCGCAGCTCCAGGTGCAGTGGAGAAATCAAAGAACAAAGACCGAGTTTGAAACTAAGAAGCTCAAGACAAAATACTATGCACAGTTCCAATGTTTAAGACTTCTTTACTGATGTGTTTGAAAACTCTTTATGTAGTCTCTTTTACAAATTTATGTTTTTAAGACTTTGGAATCTCTTATTTGTGTGTGCTTGTTCAAAACCAATACATTCTTCTTATGTGTGTTTCTACTTTCTACTATGATCTTCAAGACTGTTTTCTCCATTATCTTAAATTGAAAACCTACTTTTTACTTTTTGTCTAATTATACCGCAAAAATCTTGATTTGTTTATTGTTTGTTGGTACAAAAGTCTCTTAAGTGATAATTAGGATAAAAGTATATAAAGAGGCTTTACCACACAAAGTGGAATCTCAAATGATGGTTTTTCTCCTATCTGTAAAACAACAAAGTGTGTAAATCTTGATTACCTTTAGACTAATCCCAATAATTTTTTATCTTCTACAACTTTCTTACAAGAATTACTTTAACAACATGGTTTGAATTGAACTAAATATCTAAATCTCTCTTATATATATATAGTAATAGTCTTAGTGCTCCAAAGTTTATCCATACAAATATTATTTTATAGCAAAGTTTCTTAAAACGAAACCAAAATTTATCCATACAACATTTACAAATTATATGTATTTATTAGTCTTATAAATCGATAATAGTCTGATTGCTACAAGAAGAATATATATAGTAGTTCTCACTTTATATATGAAGTTTACAAAGTTTGTTCCAAAGTGATACTATTCATATTCTAATTCCCCCACACCTAAAAAGAAGAATATTAGTATAACATTTTGGATATATCGACATCAGTTGTCAAATTAAGAGTCTTATCACATGGGGGCAAAGTGGTTTGCACAAATGTAGCACTTCTAAGTGAGTTTGTGGTTAGTGCACTTCATCATTGACTTTATTTTCTAAATTTTGATTTGTTTTTGCAAATTCGTAAGAACAATTATATCAAGCACAGTTATATATGTCTTGTTAATGCTTTTCTTTCATATGAACCACTTATTTCTTTCATTAAACTATATACTCGAGCAAAATATATAACTATCGTAGTGAATTGTTGTATCATCATCTAAATTATAGTTTGAACTATACAAATTACTCGACTCCATATATTTACTAGCACCATCACTATGTTTTCTTAATAATTTCAAGAATATTTCTGTGATATTTGTTTTAAAAAGTTCTTATCTAGGGTTCAAGTGATTATTTACGGTTTATATAAAAAGTTAGTGGAATTATAAGAATATTGGTCCCAATGTAAGTGGATTGTATTCGTTGGTTCTAAGAGTTGGAAGAAAACTAAAGATTCATAGTTAGAGCCACTTAGAGGAACCAATCTCTTCAAAATGAATTTTTCTTCTTGGTTGCACTTATATTTAACCTATAATAAGTAAAATAAAGAACTAGCTTGAAATTTTTTGGTTATACTAAAATTTGGTTTCGTTATATATAGCTTTGGATTTGGTAGCTAGCTAAGGATATGTATATATCGTTTATTAGATTAGTCTTTTCCTATCAAGATAATTTGCTTTTGATCATACCAAAAAATCGTGATCTTTAAACTTAAAACGTAAGACTAACATAGGATAAGACGTTATCGTTTTCTTTTTGTAAACATATGATGTTACGCATGTTTCAATATATATATGGAAATATCGCTTTTACGCGATATTTTCATATATTTAAAACTTATTATACAAATTGTTTGTAGTACGAAACTAATGTTCTTGAGATGACAAGTTGTTTAAACATATGATATGTAAATCTTATGAGATTGCAAGACAAAGTTTGTTTCATGTAGTAGTAAACTCAAAGATAAGGAACAATAATCTAGCAGTTGAAGAAGATGATAATACATAGTTTTGGTTACTATTGCAATGGACCACAACATAAGAAATCTAATCGCCTTAATTAATATATAATCATGGATCGGTCCACAGAGACATATCATATGGTTGTGTCTCCCAAAACCTTTCTTCTACTTAAGCTAATGTTTTTAGTCAAATTATTCTTATTATATACACTCCAAAACGAACCACTATATATCTTTTAAAATTTATAATCCTCTACTCATTGCACTCGTTCTTTTAAGCATACCCATCACAAGAAAGCACATTTTTATTTTATTTTATTTCCTCAAATTTAGTTCCTATTCATATATTTTATATATGTTTCAAGATTGATAAAATTTTGTTTGAAGACAGACGAATAAGATATTGGATACGAATGATTAACTATATTATCATCCAAATATTTGGCTTGACCATGTCTATGTCTTTTTGTCTGCAATTCATAAATTGAATATAAATATTATTCGGCTATACAATTATTACAAATTAGTAATTTACGATTTTTATTATCTTTAAAAAAATGCAATCCAATCTATATGCATTTTTTCTTTTCTTTTCTGAATTTGATGTTTGAATGCCTCTAGTTACAAGTCTTGCATCCTAATGAGACAAATATGTCTCTGAACATCCAATGAAAATAAAATATGTGATATTTAATTATGATTCTAGTTTTTTTTATTATTATTCATTGAGATATTAATAATGCATCAATGTTAATTAGTGAATGCTACTATATATGCTAGTATGTTTATTTGGTTGGATTATAGATTCGAATTATGAAAACGGATCAGATATAGAACAAATTTAAAAAAGCATCCATTATGGTACAATGCATTCACTATGTATTCTAATAAGCAATGTATCATAATATAATGGTGGTGTTTAGTTACAATTTATCATAGAATTGAAAATATATAAGTTAAAGTGGTCTAATATTATTTTGAAACATGATTTGTCTCAAACTTATGAAACGACCAGAATTTTAATATATATATTTTCGGTGAAGCACATGGAGCCGGATCAAACGAACAAAATCTTCTGCAACATATAAGGGAATGATATGAATAAATAATAAATAGAGTATTTATTAATTTTGAGAAATATTCCCAACAATATTTTTTGGTTGTTATCAAAACCATAATAACTTTGGTCTTTGGTTGTGAATCTTTATAAGTCAATCCTTTATTAAGGGCGAGCCAAGATGAGTAGAACGAAGATCGTTGGTAAGAAGTTCAAATTATGAAATTATGAAAATAAAACAAGTTTGGTAACTTTGAAACGCAAGAAAACCAAATTAGCCATAACAATTTAAGGACCAAACATAGTAGTAGATAGTGAATAGTTAGTAAATGAAAGTATCTTTTAAGACCTAGAGCTACTAGTACACTAGACATATAATATCTGTCTGGCCCTGGAACAACATACAAAATAGCCAAACATGTAGGTTTGCATGCAATTGTACGTTAAAAGCTGTAACAAAACAGACAAAAACAAACAAAGTAGAAAAAAACAAAAGTGATAAATTAATACCAATAATTTTTTTTTAATTTCTTTATATATATATATATGCCTCTACCAGTTGATCCAGTCAATTTAGACAGATTTATACCAAAATATTACATTGTGAACTTCGTCTTGAATATATAACCATTACATAACCTATTTCAAATGTGGGATACCTTTACTACTACTGCATATATAGTAGCTAGCTAGACTGCAGCTTACTAAACTATCATATAAATTGTCTACACATAAATCTAAACCCAAATTTTTTTTTTACACAAATGTAATTTTTGTTTTCACGAATATAGAAACCTCGGAAAAATGTTTAAATATATTCCAATTTTTACTCGACTGATGGATCAACACCTAACCCTAAAACTTCGGTTTTTCTGATTAGTTTAGTTCGGCTAATTCAAGTTTTTTTTTTTAGATTTGTTTTTAGTTTCGAAACTGTCGCTAAAACTGATCGAATTAAATTTTGGTTTGGTTAGTTCAGTTCAGTTATTTTAGTTCTTTAAATAGTTCGATTATTAACGAAAACTACTCTAATTTTTGTATAGTTGGTATAATTTGGTTATTAAAAATAATTCGGTTAATCGAGAACCGAACAAAAACTAAACTAAATTCTCGGTTAACCAAACTAAAATTTCAAATGCTATTAATCAGTTAATGACCTATAACCGAAACCGAATCGAACAACCAAAATTCGGTTCAACTATTTCGGCTCGGTTAATTATCCTAGCTCCACCAATACAGCCATATGAACATAAATAGTTGAGACTCGGATAGAGATTACTAAAAACACATACAAGTCCACAAGACCCAGACCAAAACAGTAGTAGTCTCAGTAATAAATAAAAAGGTTCTGGGGATCTTCGTCCTATCTCACCCCATACCATTCACTATCAATACATTTATTGATGCTTTCTTCATTCATTATTACCATCTTCTTTTGTATTCTTCCTCGATCACTTTTTTTTTAATTCGTACCATATTCTTATAAAGCTATAGCATTGATTTTTATTATTATATAAGTCGTAGGTCGACTTTTGTTTTTATTTGATAGTAACACTTATGTCGTTGGAGTCTTTGGAGATATGTATTTAGAAGTGCTCTTTTTGATTTGTTTATATGTGTACCCTTTTGTCGACCAAAACAAAAACTTTGTACCCTTTATCTCTTTTACTGAGTTTTTAACCTTTTTAGTTTGTAGTTTTCTATACCACATACAAGTTTTATTACTGTTGCTTATTAGATCAATCATATATGTATAGGTACAAATGATTTTAGTAAAAGAAACACTGTAAATGAACAAATATTTTGTAGAGTATAGTTATGTAATTAAATGTTGATATATATTATGGTTTTAGTAAATTAATAACACTTTGTTGGCAGTTATAGTTTTAACCAATTTTTCGGAAAATTTCGTTGTAAATTAATAACATTCGTACTCGTTGCGAAGTTAATTCAGCTCGTCAAAATTACATTACAAAACTAAAAATTCATAGTCTCCAAATCCAAAAAAATATGTTTCAACCATTAGAGTACCATTAATTAGTTGTGTATTGCAAAATTTTACTTCTTTTAAAAATATAAAATTTGATAAATATCTTCAAAGAAAATTATTAAAAAAAACAAAGTTATTTTATTATTTTATGTGCTAGGGAAAACTAAAAATAATAAATCATTACTCAACTATAACAAAGCATCTATTTATCTACCGTTATTATCATTACTATACTAGTAAACATTACCTCAGTTTCAGCATCATAGCTATAGCAGTAATATATAAAGAGATCTGAACAAAATATAGTTGGCATTGGCAACATGTTGACCAGTGTGATCATGGCTTATCGGATCAACAACACTTTGATTCGAACATTAAATGTTTTACATGGATCGATATAGATATAGTTTATATAAAATGGCTCACATAAATAGACCACCGATCCAATAATCGAGTTAATCTCTCTATCTATCTATCTACTCATATTATCATCTATTCGTATTCCATTTATACATTCACTGCACTGTATAGTCTGTATTTTATTATCAAACCCAATCATATAAATGTTTGCCCATCTACTTACAATAAATTTCGTCAAAGTTCCAACAGTGTTTTTACATAAAAGGGTCAAAGGTAACACACATGATTCTCCTATTTTGCATGACTTTTTACAAAATTCGAAACTTATCAAACTTATGCATTATTGTGTGAGTTGCTTTCTTTACCAGCCTACGAGACTAGATTGATCCATAGGCTATATAATAGCTTGTTTTCGTCAGCTCTTTTGCAATACTAATTTTAAGATTAGGAACTAAGCAAAGATTCATGGAGTACCTTTTAAGGTTAATTTGTTTCTAGTAATCAGAAATATAAAACATATAAGTAAAATGATCTATTTGCATTTTATTAACTTTTTTGGGGTGTTTAAACATAATTTATAATCTTAATCACATATTAATCGATATATATATATATATATATATATATACACGAAAATAATACCCTTAGTGACCATGGTTTAGGGAAAGAAAAAAGGAAAAGATGTTTTGTAACCTAGTAATAAATAAAATAAAAATACTATTTAAAAATTTATTACTTAAGAAAATAATTTTAGAGTAAAACTTTAGAATAAGAAGTTATTTTACAAAATTAAAAAATTGATACATATAATTATATAGCTGTTTCATTTTCATAGATTAATTAAGAGATAATATAAATTGAATATTACTTAATACTAGGTGCCAAACGAGCTTTATCTCTTAAAAGACTAGAATATTAGAGCCATACATAATACCAAAAAAGTTAGCAATGTAGCCCATAAGTTCATGTTTTACAAAAATTAATACATATTACCAAAATCAATCATTTACATATAATTAACCAAAAAACACAAATGCAAGTAACTTTTTCAAAAAAAATTTACAGCTTTAAGCTGGTGACTGGTCAGTCATTTTTAAACCTATATAAATAAATAAAAATCTTAGATAATCCCAATATCCAATCTTCCCACTATAATTGAAAAAAAAAAAAAAAGACTCCATTTTATAAAAATTGAACCTTTCTCCTCTCTTCTCCTCTCACCATCTCTCTCTCTCTCTCTCTCTGCAATTCTCAGTTTCTTTTATTCAGAGAAACCAAAACAATCTCAGTCTCTCTCTAACAAACAAATATGATAAACGGCTGGAGAAGAGCTTTTTGCACTTATATTCCCAAAGAAACTAACCAACTCAACGACGACGACAACGGAGTCGTTGTTCTTGATTCGCCGGAGAATCATCGTCTCCGCCACAAATCCACTTCTCGTTTCGGTTTTTTCTCAACTCCTTCCACTCCTCGTTCTGATTCCTCCACCGGAAATTACAGTCTCCGTTGTCGTACTTCAACAGCCACCTCCGTCGCCACTCCTACCCCGTCTCTTCCCGGAACTCCGAAGCTTAAGTGCAAAACCACCACCGGAGAAAAAGAAACAACACCGAGAAACAGAAGCCTCGTCTCTCTTTTAACACCTTCTTCTTCTTCTCCTATCTCTCCGGCGAGCTTCTCCCTTCTCAAATCCAAACTCCGATTCAACAAAGTACACTTCATCGATTTTCAATTTTGCTTTTTAATCGTTTCGTTTTTTTTTTTTTTGCTAATTTTTTTGTTTTTGGGTTTGAGCAGAGTAGTAGCAAATGTGGAATCTGTTTACAGAGTGTGAAGTCAGGTCAAGGCACGGCGATTTTCACGGCGGAGTGTTCTCACACGTTTCATTTCCCTTGCGTTTCCTCACGCGCCGCCGCGAATCATAACCGGCTTGCTTCTTGTCCGGTTTGCGGTTTCTCGCTTTTACCTGAGATTCGAAATTACGCTAAACCGGAATCTCAAATCAAACCGGAATTTAAGAACAAGTCTCTTCTTCTGAGAGTTTACAACGACGACGAAGCTTTGATTTCGTCTCCGATATCTCCCGCCGGGTTCCACACCATACTTGAATCCGACGAAAACGAAGACGGCGATGAGTTTACTGGATTTTCCGTTAATACTCCGTCACCTTTAACGGCGAATCTGTTAACGGATAGAAACGTTGACGTTAGGCTCTCACCGGAATCTGCTATCGTTGCGTCGGGTAAAGGTTACGAGACTTACTCGGTCGTTATGAAGGTGAAATCGCCGCCGTTTCCGACGGCGCGTGGATCTGCGCGTAGAGCGCCGGTTGATTTGGTGACGGTTTTAGACGTGAGTGGGAGAAATTCCGGTGAGAAATTGGAGACGATGAAGCGGACGATGAGGATTGTGATTTCGAATCTGAGAGAGACGGATCGTTTGTCGATCGTCGCGTTTTCGTCTAGCTCGAAACGGCTATCGCCGTTACGGAGGATGACGGCGAACGGGAGGAGATCGGCGAGGCGAATCGTGGATATCATCACCGCTCCAGGCTCCGTCGCCGGCGTAGGGATGAGTGTGAACGACGCGTTGAAGAAAGCGGTTAAGGTGTTAGACGATCGCCGGCAGAAAAACCCTTTCACCACCGTCTTCGTATTAACGGATCGTCAGGCCCATCAAGCGGCCCAATTAGCCCATTCTAGAATCCCCGTGCACACCGTTTGGCTGACCCACGCGTTTCCCGAAGACGCGTTTGCGAGGAGCATCAACGGTTATTTGAGTTTGTCGGTTCAAGATCTCGGTTTAGAACTCGGGTTAGTTTCCGGGACGGGTCAAGGAGAGATCACTTCTGTTTACTCTCTATCGGGTCGACCCGCTTGGCTTGGAACCGGTTTAATCCGGTTAGGTGATATGTACGCGGAGGAAGAAAGAGCGTTGCTGGTTGAAATCAAATCACCGGTTAATAATTCCTTAACCGGAAGTAGATCTCACAAAATCATGACCGTTAGATCTCGTTACGTGGACACAACAACTCAAGAAACAAAAACACCCGAAGATCGCGCGCTTTTAATACCTACTCCATTAACCGTACGATCATCATCTAATCCAAACATCTCACGGCTCAGAAACCTCCACGTAAGCACTCGGGCCGTGGCGGAGTCTCGTCGGCTGATAGAGCGTAACCATTACTCCGGTGCTCAGAGACTGCTGACATCAGCAAGAGCTTTGCTTGTGCAGTACGGTTTGAGCTCGAGCGATGCATGTTTACGTGGCTTGGATGCTGAGCTAGCTGATCTTAACGGTGTGAGAGGAAGACACGTGGCGGCATCGGAGAGTTTGGAGTCGCTTACTCCGACGTCGGCATGGAAAGCGGCGGAGAGGTTGGCTAAAGTGGCCATGGTGAGGAAACATATGAACAGAGTCAGTGACTTGCATGGGTTCGAGAACGCTAGATTCTAATATTTGTTATAAATAATATTTTTCTTGATTAGGTTAATTAAGAACTTTGTGTAATGATCTTATACAAACAAACTAGAGTGGTGCATAAATGAAAGTTATATAATTTGGTCAAATGATAAGTTTGGATTAGTTATATTTTGTATATACCAATTCAGTTATTATGTGATATTGTGATACATTTTTCACCCTAAAGGTGATTATACAATTTTTATAGCTAGGGATGTTGCATTAGGTACGAAGTAGGTTTTACCAAATCAATTACAAAATATTCACATTTAATTTAGTTTAATATAATGAACTATTTTTAATGTATGAGACATCATTTTCGTTAGAGATAAAAATATAGTCATCATCACTAATACTATATTTTTTTAATCTCTCAGTCAATTTTCAAGATGTACAATCATCACACACAAATTGTAATAGTTTTTTTTTGGTGAATCACAAATTGTAATAGTTGAAGCAATGTATAGTCATTCGTGTTACTTAAACCAAAAATTTAAACCTTATCAAGAAAATGAATACAAAGCGAAGAAAACATGATTAATGATTACATATAATTTTATTAAAGGTTAAGAGAATAAAGAAAACCTCTAAGTTATTCTTAATAACATGATTATATTGTAAAAGTATTCCATTGAGAAATTCATGAAATAAATAAGTGATAGGTTTATTCATTTGTGTTGTTGTAAATTTGAGGCATTTAAAATGCTCTTAACACACACTACTTATGAACATGATATGATATTTTCTTTTTAGTTAACTAATTTTTATAAGAACTTTTCTTTTGTTTTGCTTTATAATTATTTAAAGTGAAACTTTTTGAGCCAAAAGCATATATTCTATGTGTACTTCTTCATAATGGGTAGTAACATTATAAATACTAAAAATGCAGTCCAAAAAAATATATCGAGATTTAGCCTTTTTGCGGCTACACACTAATTAAATTCGTTGTATCCCAATGATTCAAACTCGATGGTCAACAAAATATTTAATAATCAAAACAATAAGAACTTAACAATCCTACAAAAAAAAGTCTTATTAATATGATTGCAGATACTTAATAATTGAGCTGAGGATATCATTTTAACGGCGGGATTTGTCTCTTTTTTGTTTGTCTCGTAGGCTTTTTTACACTTAATTAATTATAATTCTTGTTAATTTCACCTCTCGTTTGAGTGTCGCTTTGCGTTATGCACAAGATGCATCATCATGATCATAATAAGTTTTTCAACTTCTTAGATTAGATTAATTGTCGTTGAAACTTTCACTTAGTAGGTGATGATCTTTGTAAACTTTGAAATATGAGATTTGATTTAACACATAATGCATTTATTCTTGGATTATGAATAACAAAACTCACTAGTACTGAAACAACAAAGTCATCGGCCTAAGTGTTTCATTTTAATCGGCCGACCAATGTATACAAACGTCTAAAATTGAGGAAAAGATCATGCAACATTGGTCAAACATCACCCGACCAACGTATACCGACGTTTTGATCAACGCTCCTTCTTTGTTGCGTAAGGTTGCTGCCCAAGCTTTCAAAATCTCATCTTCAAAAACATTGACCGTGAGATCCGCAACATCATTACATCTTGAAGACGAAAAAGAGATGGTGAATGCTGATGCTACTCTTGATCTAATAGATTTATCCAAACTTTGATTAACAATAAACCAATAGAAACAATAACAATAAACCAATAGTAAACCAGTGAAAATCCAGAATTGGGGAGAATCAGATCTCGAACTTTGATTTGGAGGGGGGGGGAGAATTTGGTTTAGAACTTTTATTTCGGGAAGAAATAGGATTTAAACTTTTCTTTCGAGAATATCTACATCGAGATCAAAGTTTTGGCTCTATATGGATTGATACGTTAGTTCTCAGGGGAAATAGATCGTTTTCCTTAGTTTTGTTTTGTTTATTGTTGCCAAGGTTGCTTTCTCAAGGTAATGTTATGGTGTTGTAATACCTTATGTTCATTTTCTAATGATACTAACATATTTAGCAAAACAAAAACATTGGTCAAATAGTGAGAAAGATAATAGTTTAAAAGGCAAAAAAGCTATTTGGGAATTATATGTTTTTCTGATACATTTAATTTGGATAGGCGATGGTGCGTTCCACTAAAGTGATGCAATAATGGTACGCACGGCTATATCTAAAAGTTCATATCATTTAATCCATTCAAATGTATTAAGAGATCTTTAGTTAGTTTTCGTTTTTAGATTTAGTATATACACGAATATGTATTATATTAAGTAGAGACCAAAAGACAAAAATTAATAATTCACAAATTTTGGGTAGTGGAGAGAGTTTAGAGATGATCAACAGGACAAAACGAGTCTAAATGATTATCTTAATTAATAACTTTTTATAATTATTGTAATATACTTTAGCCATATAAATATCATAAACCAAATTTTAATCATTTGTATTCTTAAGTGAATGATATACATAATTTTGAAGTTTATTCTTTTGACGCCAAATTTTAACGTTAGTGGGGTTAAACGATTTTTAAGGGTGGTTAGAACAACGGTCAAAGAGTTCAAATTTACTGAGGATAGGGGTAAGTTTTGGTGCTGTCCTCTAGAATTCAAGATCAGGAGACAAAAGACCATATCTGTGTATTAATGTTTGGTTTAAAACTATAGCTTTTATACACAGAACCCAAAACAAGATCATGATACCAAAGAACAGAGCTCTCGCTGAGACAAAAAAAGATCATGACCCCAAACCTTCTTTAAGAAATGCAGTATAAGAAGTTGTGAAAAGAGTGATCAGACTACTCTAGAAAAACAGCTGCTTACATTTGGAAGCATCTATATCTGTTGGACAATAAGGACACTTGAAGGACTTTGTACCATTCCTCGACATACCGTTGATAGACTGCTTGCAAAGGACATGACCGCAGCTCAATCTCATCGGAGGATTATCTTCACTTGAGTGTTCTTTGGTGACAGGACATACAAAGACTGAGTGGAAGCGATACTCTTCAGGGAGTTCCACAGGTACAAGAAGTTGCTTCATTGTTTGCCATTCTTTTCTTTTCTCTGGCAGAAGGTTCAAGTATTTCAAAAACGTCGGTAAAACTTGTGAACCTGCTGCAACTGTTACAACTAAAGGACTCTCTGATGATTCACCGAGTAGACTGCAGTATTGGTGGGTTAGTTCTTTGGCAGCGTTGGTCCATAACGCAGGTGAGAGGAACTCTGAGTATGGGGATTTATCGAGGTTTCTGTGCCATAAGAGAGAGCCCATGAGTTTCTGGATCTCTGGTAAACACTTGTTTGAATATGTAGTGAAGTGTTTTCTGGCGTAGTTGATAGCTTCTTTGGAGTCCTTGTCTTGTGCTATTTTCAGGAAGTGAAGGCTGTGAAATGTCAACTCGAGATCGGAGTTTGCTTGCTTTAGCTTGTCAGAGTTCAAAGCTACCCACTTAAGAGCTGGTCCAAGATCTCGTTTTTTCATGGCTTCAAGTATCCTATGCATTTCCATGAAAGATTCTGTAGCAGAAGACTCAAGCCCAGGCTCGCCAGTCTCGGAAAGGAAACTGTCAACCATGTCGAACATGCCTTGCCTGTAGAGAAAACCAGCTATTATCTGGTGAAGAGCATGAAGATCAAACTCGACGTTTCTGTAAGCCGTTGATATGTCTGGATTCAGAGTCCTGTCCACCGCTTTCGGGTACTTGGTCAGAGCCGCACTTAGTTCTTTCTGAGTGGCTTCAACTTGTTTGATCGGAGCAATCTCATTTAAAGTTTTCTTCAAATCAGCAACAACAGATTTACCATGAAGCGGGTTATCTGAGCCAGCGGGTACCTCCTGTATCGTGTTCAATGCCTTGTCGATCTCTTGAGACAGTCTATCCACCACTTCCTGTGTCTTGCTATAGCAAAGTTTCTGCTTTTTGGTAACACGATCAAACGCATCTCTGACACTCTTTAGCTCCATTCTAAGATAATCAATCACACTGGTAAAATCCTGAAACAAGTATAATCAACAAGAAAGGTCTCAGACAGGACAATCTCCACAACCAAATAACATCATTCTCCATAAGCAAAAACATATCTTCTTTACAATGAATCATATCCACAATAACAACAACACAAAGCACACCACATAGCAGTTTCTTGAACCTTTCTTTTATGCATCAGAACCAGTGAGTGACTACTACTATGTCTATTCATCATATCATCAATCAAAAAATCGAATTCAGACTCCAGAAACCAAAATTAATCTATAGAGAAATCCAAATAATCCAAATGATTCAAGAATCGAAAGATCAGGTAAAGGAGTCAGAGAATTTGACGATTCGCGAATCAGAAACAGTCGATGAAGCGAAGAAGAATCCAAAGCCAGAGACAAATATATAATCAACATGTTCAGTGAGAGAGATGAACCTATAAAAAACCCGATGAAGGTAATCGCCGGAAAAGGAGAAAGATGAATCGTCGGACGGAGGAAGATGATGAATTCGGAGATTTCGACTTGTTTAAGTTTTCGTTGAAACTCTGTATTTATTACTCTCTCATAATCCCTGATCTTGACGATGAATCTCAGCCGTTGGATTTGATCCGTTTCTTTGAATCAGACAAATAATTATTACTTGGGCCGAGAGATTATGTAGGCTGAACTAAAAGGCCCAATAGTCATACTAATTAAATTACGGATTAAAACCCAAATGTTGAAAATAATGTAAATTGAGGTTTTGGAGGGAAAAAAGATTAGACTATACAGTAAAACCTCCATAAATTAATAATGTTGGGACCATGAATATCTATTAATTTATAGAGGTTTTAATTTATCGATAAATTAATAATTGTTAATTTATAGAGAGATTTTCCTAATTTGGAAAGTTTTTTCAAAAAAATAATTAAAAATAAGATTTAATCATGAGAATTAGTATTTTATATAATCAATTACAAAGAAAATAATAATGATTGTGTCTTGAAAGAGAATGCTAACTATTTTTGATATAGTAAAATATTAGAAATAAACTCTAACAAAAACTAATGTGTCTACATATACATATTTTTTGAAAGTTTTACCTAATTATTAATTTATAATATTGTTGGGACCATATATTTACAAAGGATTTTCAAAAAAAATATTATCTTATTATTTTATCAAAATATGTCTACAATTACACTGGTCCCAACTTGGTACCGGATAAATTTATTAATTTATAGAGATTGTTAATTTATCGAGTATTAATTTATAGAGGTTTTACTGTATATTGTTCATAAATCAATAACTGATAATAGTCTATTTTTTATATTCTTTTTATATGTTTTCAAAAAAAAAAAAGTCTATTCTTTTTATATATCCTTTTTAATTTTATTTTTTTGTAACAGAATAAATTACTAATATATATATATATATATTATTTATATTTATTTGGGTTCTTGATCTTAGCTAGAGGAAAAATTTGTGATTGATGTCAAAAAAAAAAGAGGAAAAATTTGTGATTTTGGTAACTTGTACAATAGCGATATAAATTTAGCGTTTTAACAGTTGGCGTATTCTATTTTTACTTTTAACAATTTTTATATAGTATATTTTTTTTACTTTTTACTATTTTCTTTTTTGAAAAAATACAAAATTCTAATGAAAAGCTAGAGGTGTAGATACGATTTTACATATTTAAAAATTTTATAAAGAAAAAGAAAAAACATATACTTTATAAACAATAAAGTTTTGTAGATTGTGTCATTTTTGTATTTTGTTTATTTTTAATAGATGAATTAAAATTTCGATAATCATAAACCGTCCCAAGAAAACGGATTGCGACCAATTAATTATTTATTTATTTATTTCAAAAGTTTATTAACCAACATTGGATGGAGAAAAAATTAAACCGGTGTGGTGAAACGTGGTAGGAGGAGGTAGCTATCACAATTTCGAACTCAATTCTTTTTTACCCAAAATATGTTTTTTTATCTTACCAACCAAACAAACAAAGAATCCTTAAATAAGGCAAAAAAATTAAGAAAAAATCATTAATTAAATATTTTTCCATTTAAAGAGAGATATGGACACAAGGTGAGAGATAGAAGAATGTTTTTGAGAGGCGCAGCAACATGGCGCATAATAGCAATCGTAAACCTAATTGCTTCTGGGTCCTCGAGTTTCCCTTGTCTTCTTCTTTATTCCCCTCAAAACCTAAAAGCCCAACGACGAGAGAACCCTATCTCTTCTCTTCTCCCATCTCTTTTTATCTCTTCGCAGCTTTCTCTCTTCTCTCAGATCTATATGTTTTCTCGTCGTTCTCAATCGTTCCCTTTTTTCTCTCCATCGGATTCGTCAGATCTCATCGATCTACATCGATTCTTCGCCGTTTCATCCGATTTTATCGTTTCCAGGTCAAATCCAGGTATTTCAATTGTAAAATTTCGATCAAATTCGTCGATTCTGGATCTTTTTCTGATCAAATTTGACGATTTCGGATCTGTTTTCGATCAGATTTGACGATTTTTAATCTGTTTTCGATCAGATTCGACGATTTTGAATCTATTTCGATCGGATTTGAGATCTGGTTATTGTTTTATATCGTTTTCTGTTGATTTTTCGAGAAACGGGATCGATTTCATGAGTTTTCTGTGTTTTTATCGAAATTTAGATCTTGAATTCTATATTTTTGGTTGAAACCACCCGATTTTTTCTAGAATCGATCTCGATTTTGTGGGGTTTTTGTGTGTCTTGTCAAAAATTCGATTTTGATTTTAACAGTTTTTGGATTGAATTGATATGATTTTCTGAAACAAGATCGATTTTTAGGTTTTCTTTGTGTTTTTTTTTTCTTAAGTTTGATCTCGATTTCTACAGTTTTTGGATTGAATTGAGAAGATATTGAAGAACGGAGATCGATTTTGTAAATTTTTAGGATCGATTTCTGTGTGTTTGATCAAAAGCTATAATCTAGGTAGCTATTCATTATTTTCAATTTGAAAAATTGGAACTTTTGTGAGTTTTAATGGAGTTTTTTTTTGTTTGCAGGGATTTGCTAATTGGTAGGCTATCTTTCAGCAAACATGCATGGTTATGAAGAAGTAAGAAACCCATGATTCATTTTTTTTCTGTGGTTGCGTCAAATTCACTTTTAAGCTAGATTGATCTCACACCGTTTACATGATTTTGATATGTTATGTTTCAGGACCTTGATGAAGAAGCTGGGTATGATGACTATTACAGCGGTGATGAGGACCTTGATGAGTATGAAGATGAGGAGGAAGAAGAAGAAAGACAACCTCCAAAGGAAGAATTAGAATATCTTGAATTGCGCCAAAAGTTGAAGGAAACATACAAGAAGAACATGGGGAAAGCAAGTGCTAATGGTCAATCTTCACAAGAGAGAAGAAGAAAACTTCCTTATAACGAGTATGTGGTGGCTAAGTACATTTTCTAATTAATACAATATTCTGGAAAGTGTTTTGATGATCAGCTAATTTTTCATTCTATGCAGCTTTGGTTCCTTCTTTGGTCCTTCGCAGCCTGTTATTTCGTCAAGGGTTATACAAGAAAGCAAATCATTGCTAGAAAATGAGATACGGACAGCTAAAATGTCTAATTCAAGCCAAACTGTATGTGCATCTGATCTCTGCTCCTCTTTGTGTTTTATCATTTAAGTTTTTCTTGCTGATGGAATTATTTGTGGTTTTCAGAAAAAAAGACCTGTTTCAACGAGTGGTTCAGTCGCTAAGAATGTATCACAAGAGAAGCGGCCTAGAGTTGTGAATGAGGTGAGAAGGAAAGTTGAGGCTCTTAAGGATACAAGAGACTATTCGTTTTTGTTTTCTGATGACGCGGAGCTTCCTGTTCCGAAGAAGGAATCTCTGTCTCGAACTGGCTCCTTTCCTAATCCTGGTATGTTGCGCCTTTTGAAACACTTGTTTACGATTTATGATCTTTTAGCATACCATTTTCATGGAGATAACTTATACAGGTTTTTTGCTGATGTTCAAGAGGCTCGATCTGCTCAATTATCAGCGAGGCCCAAACAATCATCAGGTGCCAATGGTAGAACTGCTCATGGTCCCCCTCGTGAGGAGAAGAGACCTGTTTCAGCGAATGGACATTCAAGACCGTCTTCCTCTGGTAGTCAAATGAATCATTCAAGACCGTCTTCCTCTGGTAGCCAAATGAATCATTCAAGACCGTCTTCCTCTGGTAGCCAAATGAATCATTTAAAACAGTCTTCCTCAGGCAGCCAAATGAGACCGGCTTCCTCAGGCAGCCAAATGAGACCGGCTTCCTCAGGCAGCCAAATGCAGTCGAGAGCTGTCTCAGGGAGACCTTCTTCCATAGGCAGCCAAATGCAAAATTCAAGACCGGCTTCTGCTGGTAGCCAAATGCAACGAAGGACTGCAACTTCAAGCAGCCAAAAACCAGGTTCCTCGACAAACCGTCAAGCACCTATGAGGCCACCAGGTTCAGCTTCCACAATGAATGGTCAGTCAGCTAATCGGAATGGCCAACTGAATTCCAGATCGGATTCCCAAAGATCAGCTCTTGCAAAAGTTCCAGTGGATCATAGGAAACCGATGAGCAGTAGTAATGGAGTCGGTCCTGGTCGGTCAGCAGCCATGCCAAGACCTTTGCCTTCTAAGACTTCATTGGAAAGAAAACCCTCCTTCTCGGCAGGGAAGAGTTCTATTCAAAGTGCTCAGAGACCGTCCTCATCAAGACCAATGTCATCAGATCCTAGGCAAAGGGTAGTAGAACAGAGAAAGGTTTCCCGTGACTCTGCCACAACCCGAATGGTACCAAAAAAAACAGTGCCGACCTCGAAACACCAGGTATCATGATCATGATCATGATCTTTCACATCTCTCTCTTATGTCCTTCCTCTAGCCAAGGCACTAATTTGTCAAGTATTTTGTACAGATGATGAGTAAACCAGGTCTCAAGAGACCTCCCTCACGTGATATGGATCATGATAGGAGGGTGGTGAAGAAGAAGAAGCCTGTAAGAATGACAGAGGATGAAGAAGCATTCAACATGCTTAGACAGTTGTTGTAAGTACTTGTCTTCATACTCACTCAAATCCTTTACATATATAATTTGTCTCCTGATACTTATATGGGTATTGTGTTTCAATTTCAGACCATCCAAGCGTTTTGCTGGGTATGACGATGATGACAGAGACATGGAAGCAGGCTTTGAAGATATCCAAAAGGAAGAGAGACGAAGGTACATATATTTAGTATCTTGATCACAAGGTTCATTCATAAACGATGATATTAATGGTGAATTGTTTAAAATGCAGTGCAAGAATCGCAAGGGAGGAAGATGAAAGAGAACTTCAGCTCTTAGAGGAAGAAGAAAGAAGAGAAAGACTGAGAAAGAAACGGAACCTAAGCCGTTAACAAAGTGTTAGAAGAATCCTTTTTTGCTCTTTTGTTTTGTTTTAGGACTACAGATCTTTTTTTAGTGTTTTCTCATTTAATCTCTTTGGCCGCTCTTGAGGCAAAAAAGAGTTTAACCCTTTTTTTTTTTTTTTGGTGTTATCAAATTAAGGATCCTTTGTTATTGGAATTGTACAATTAGATAATAATATCTTTATTTTGTAGGTGATGAATTAACTTCATCTCCTTTGTATTCCAAGAGCAAAATTAACATGCCGTTTAAAGTCATGTTGATGAATAGGCTTGTGATCCGGATCCAAACGCAAACACTCAGAGAAATTTGTTACATCGGTGAAGCAACATATATGACACAAGGCCTTTATGTGATGAGTCTGAGGCCTCTCATTTAAATCTCTTTGGCCTCTTGAGGCAAGACAGAGTTTAACCTTTTCCTTTTTTGTTTCGTTTTGTTTTGTGTTTTTAAGTTAAGGATTTTTTTTGTTCTTGGAATTGTACAATTGAGTAACAATATTATTCTTATTGAGGTAACTTCAAGAATCTGCTGGAAACCTCAAGGTAGTGAAAGCTTTTATTCTCTTTTTTGGGGGTTAAAACAAGAAGATGAGAAAGATAAAGAAACAAAGAGAGAAAAAGAATATTTCTTTATTCACGTGAAGTTAACATTTTGTAAGTCCAATTATATGATTCTAGAAGTGATGATGCTTTCTCTTTTCCAATTTTTGCTTAGAACTTTGTTTTGAGTTTATCAAATGGTGACCAAAGAAGAAGATTGTCTTCCTCCTACTCCTCTCACGGAGTTAGAGACTGTTCGAAGCATAGAAATCGTCGAATCTTCCTCTCTATCTCCCGTTTGGTATATAGTTTGTTACTTACTCTTTAGTTTTTCTCTCTGTTTTCCAATGAAAGTCTTGATTTTGAGCTCTCCTTCCCCCACAATATTGGATACTCAAAACAGCAATTTGATTTGTTTCTGTTCTGTTATGTTAGAGTAAGAGATACCTTTTTGGTTTCTATAATGAGTTTGGACGATGAGACACAGACTCTTGATTACTTCTTGCTACATTATCTTCTTCAAAAACATTTTTCCAGGTTACTGGTGATCTTTTGCATCATTAACTTGTTAAATTACATGGATCGTGGTGCGATAGCGAGCAATGGTGTAAATGGAAGTACTAAGAGTTGTAATGATAAAGGCAAATGCACTCTTGCTTCTGGAATTCAGTAAGGTTTTTCATACTTTTTTATTAAAAAAATTACGCCTAAAACTCGTTATTTTCTTATCTTTGATAAATCTAAAATGGTTGGTTTTATTCGGAATTCTTAGATAAACAAATAGTCTTGCATATGAGTTTTAAAAACTGATGATGTTTTGATGTAAAATTGCTTCTTCTAGGGGACATTTTAATCTAAGTAATTTCGAAGATGGTGTATTGTCATCTTCATTTATGGTTGGGCTACTTATTGCATCACCGATCTTTGCTATATTGGCCAAAAGGTGATCAGAAGAACTTTCATAATCTTTGTTATTTTATCCTTTTCTAATGTCTAACCTTATTCAAGTGGTTTACATGTTTTTAGTGCAGCTTCAATCCATTTAGACTTATTGGAGTAGGTCTTACTGTTTGGACAGTTGCAGTTTTTGGCTGTGGCAGTTCCTTTGCCTTTTGGTTCATCGTCTTATGCCGTATGTAAGTTGTTTTGTTTTGTCTGTACACCATATGATTGATTTTGTATGGAGTTTAGTATTAGAGTCAACTTGGTTAATGACAATGTTGGAAAACAGATGTGTTGGTGTATATTATGTAACGTTTTTGTCTTTTGGATGCAAATACTCTTATCATTACTCTCGTAGGTTTGTTGGTGTAGGTGAAGCTTCTTTCATTAGTCTTGCAGCTCCATTTATAGATGACAATGCTCCTCAGAAACAGGTCTGTGTTTGATCTTTGTTTTGTACTTCTCATGAAGCCAAATTCACCACTCTTTAAAAGCTTTTTTTTTTTCTTTCTAGAAAGCTGCATGGCTTGGAATGTTTTACATGTGTATACCAAGTGGTGTTGCTCTTGGTTATGTCTATGGCGGATATGTAAGTTATATATGTTGTCAAAACAGTTTAGAAAAAACAAAACACATTGTGTGATTCTTTCTTAATATTCTTAGGTCGGGAAACATTTTAGTTGGCGGTATGCGTTTTGGGGTGAAGCTGCTTTAATGGCTCCATTTGCTGTTCTTGGTTTTGTAATGAAACCTTTGCAGTTAAAAGGTTAGGAACAAAGCTTGTATTATGTTATATATTAAGCATTAAGTACTAAAGATATTGATTCTAAGAAAAATACTAAACAGGGTTTCCTTCTACTGAATCGATAAAGACGGTTAGATCAATTGAAGTAATGACTCCATCAGTAGGTGAACATTTTGGTCTCTCTTCTATGGTAATGTTAATGTACTCTGATTATATACAATTTTGCAGTGACATTTGGCTTTTGCAGGCGCAGAGACATCGACAAACGATAATCATCTTCAGGTTGGTAATGAGATTGAGCATGATCAGTTTGAGGTCTCAACTGAACCTAGCAAGTGAGTTGATTCCATTGTATATATCTTTGTTTACTTTATCTTCTTCCATTTGCTCATATATTTATCAAACCTTTATGTCAACAGTCGTAGATCAAGTTATGCGAACGCGGTTTTGAAATCATTTACTGGATTTGCAAAAGACATGAAAGTTCTGTTTAAAGAAAAAGTCTTTGTTGTTAATGTCTTAGGTAATGTTATTTTCTAACTTGTTTTCTTCTTACACTATTTTATCTTCTTTGTTGATTGATACATGCATTTGCCTTAAACAGGTTATGTATCATACAATTTCGTTATAGGAGCATACTCATACTGGGGACCAAAGGCTGGTTACAATATTTATAAAATGGTAAAAACATTGAAGTCATCAAAACTCTTTAGCTTGTAGTTTCAAAATCAAATTCATCTTGAGGAATTCTTGAAAAGATACAAGAACTGTTGTATCTTGACAGAGAAACGCGGATATCATCTTCGGGGCAGTAACTATCATTTCTGGGATCGTTGGAACATTATCAGGAGGCTTTATACTTGACCGCGTCAGTGCTACAATTCCAAATGCTTTTAAGGTAATGAAAAAGCTTTTCTTACAGTTCTCTGAATTTTCAGGTTTTTATCTTTACTCTTGGATTCAGCTCTTATCCGGAGCAACATTTCTCGGGGCGGTATTTTGCTTCACTGCATTTACACTGAAGAGTTTATACGGTTTCATAGCTCTCTTTGCGTTAGGAGAGTTTCTTGTGTTTGCTACACAGGTAAAGAGTAAACAAGGTTTTGAACTTTTGAGAAAGTCTTGTATTGTTGTTGCAATGTAAATCTTCTCATCAACAACAACTATCGTCTTTTCATCTTCTGCAGGCTCCAGTGAATTATGTGTGTTTGCATTGTGTGAAGCCAAGTTTGCGACCATTATCAATGGCTATCTCCACAGTCGCAATTCACATATTTGGCGATGTTCCTTCTTCGCCTCTTGTTGGTATCGTTCAGGTAAAATATCCCTTCTTTTACATCGCCAATCCTGGAGAAACGAAACACACACACACAACTTTCCCAAAGCTAAAAATGCTCCATTGCTGTATACACAGGATCATATCAACAGTTGGAGAAAAACCGCATTGATGCTTACATCAATTCTGTTCTTAGCTGCTACAATATGGTTTACAGGTAAAACAAATCTCAATTCTTGAGCTCGAATAACCGCAGATGAAAGCGATTTTTTGCTTTTGCAGGTATATTCATAAACAGTGTAGATCGGTTCAATCAAGAAGGAACTGTAGATGAGAAGAGCCAGAGGACTCGAGAACATGTATCTCCATGAAACTACTTTGTCTAAATAGGAGTACGTCTGTATTAAATTTTTTAACTGTAGAGTCTTGTACAAGTTGTACAAATGCAAAACATGTTCTGTTTTTTTTTTAAAACCATACAAAAAAGGATCATATTTACTCGCATTAACAGAGACGTTTTTAACTAAATTCAAACTTTAATGAAGGCTAAAATGCAAAATATACTGATGGAAATTGAATATAAAATTGGAAAAAAGTTTGAGATAACCAAACATATAACAAGAACTGAATTAAAAAAAAAAAAAAAAAAACAGGGATAAAAGGTTTTTAAGGCGAATATATCTATATATCAATAGAGCCTACGAGTACAGCCGTCAGAACCACAGAAGCAAGCTTTCTTCTTGATATTACCCTTAGAGTCGCGTACCTGATCAATGGCATAGTTGTAGTGGTAAGTCAGTTCTTGAAGCGGAGGTATGTTGTCCATTGCGAAGAACATCACATGAGGCATTCTCGTGTCTTCATGATCATACAATACGTTTTGTGCGTACAGATTTGGCGAGCAGCTATGGTTTATGAACCTCCCAACATTTCCCTTCGTTGCTGCATCAATGGTGAATCCGCTAGTCTCCTCAACTTCTTCCATGGCTGGCTTTTTCTTTTTCCCAGGCATTAGCTCTGACATCCCTTGCGCTAAAGAGTCATCATACCTGTTACCAATATCAAAGAGATACTCGTCGTTTCCGATTCTTCTTTCGGCTTCACTATCCTCTAAAAGTTCACCTACGTATTCGCATATGAAGCTACCAATAGGGATTGATTTAACCGATCTCACTCCCCAACCTCTTGACTTGGTTTTGAAGATCTCAAGCTGGATCTTGATCCCCAGCTGTGTGACTCTTAGGTAGCAATCAGACCGGCATTCGCAGAGCGGGCCACATTCGTAGATTAAAGGCTTTGCACCAACAATGGCTCCATCGTAATTGTATGGTATCTCTCCATTGTTTTTCAACACACAAGCGCACATGCTCGCTTCCTTGCAGGCTGTGGTGCAACCGCATGACTTTGGAGGAACTGGTTTGCACCAATCTGGGTAAATCATTTTAACCGTGTAGGTGAACTTAGGCGGTTTCTCCTCGTCTATATCGTTCACAGCGCTAATAGGTCGTCGCTCTTTCCCCTCTGAAATGTCAAGAATACGTACATTTTCCTGGCGTTTAGACGTTGATTTCTTCATCACTCTCCATGAAAGCTCAGCTTGTCCGGGCATGCGCCTAAGTTTATACTTGAAGACACACTTCCCGTGAGATCCAACTTCTTGCCAATACTTTTCCACAAGATATAATCCGTCGTAAACATAATTTCCACCTGCTGATGATGATGATTGTAATGCTGCCTTTTTTTTGCCTCTTATGACGCGCACAGGTGTCTTCTTCTCTATGCTGTTTGCTAACGCAAGGTTTCCTGTTACAAGCTTTTGATCTTCAGGCTCTTTCAGTTCCTGTCCCTTTTTCTTTACTTGCATCACATTTCCACCTTGACCAGTGTAGGTCAAGACATCCGAGTTGTCCAGATGGTCGTCGTACCCTCCAGAAGCTACAATACTTGTTGCAACTAGGTCCTTACCGACTTTCATATAATCAATACCACCTTGACTTGGTCTATGTACACCTAGAATGTTCAGCTCCATCCTATATTGGAACTCATCACCAACTTCAACCCCTGGCACATTTCCCAGAATCTGTACACCAACATTGAGGAATTTCCCTTTGCTTTTGAGAATTTGCCTAGCAATGTAATCTACTCTAAGTTTTTTTACCCTCAATTCATCAGGCTTTGCTTCATCCTCCTGCAAAACTTTTCTACAAACTCCATGGAAAAGACGAAGAGTTTCCTTAACTTTGTCCCGAGTACTATCAATGCTTCTTGAACCACTGGGATGTGAAGGAGGAATCCTAACAACAGCTGATCCCCTGGCTGAACGAAATGCAACCCCTTTCTTTGTCTTTTTCCTATGCAGAGCACGACTCCGTTTTGGAGCTGTAACATCTGCCATCTCAATTTCCAACGGCTCAGTTTGAGCCAAATCACCTCTTCCCAGACTCGTATCATCTGCATAAACAACGATATCCCTCATCATGTTTTCTGTTCCGCTGCTGCTGCTAACATCAGAACCCGAATCCTGTTCACTGTTTGAACTTTCCCCAGTAACAGAACCAACCATGACATCCCCATCTGGCAAGCAAATGCTCAGAGGCTTAACCTCAACAGCCTCAGCCATACTAACATCTTCAGAGGCAAACACCATCAACGCACCAGATCCACCCAAATCGCTACAACCCTTTCCATCATCTTGCTCCTCTTTAATCAAAGACTCAACCTTATCATCACCATCAGCAACAACACTCCCGTTCTCATCACAAGTAAACTTAACAACATCAGTCTTTTTCCATGTAAAAGACTTGAAACTAGTTCCACAACCAGGTGGGAAATCCCTAACAGCACCAACCCTGCGACGCTTAAACTTAAGCCCCGTCATACGATCACTCCTGTAACCAACACCAGCAACACCAGCAACACCATTCTGCAAAAGACCTCGTTTCTCCACAGAATCATCACCATTGCTCATCACTCTCACCTTTGATGTCTCAGTATTCACCATATTGTTCTCCATTACACCCATAGAAACCCAAAATCACCAACCTGAGAATCACAAAACAAAACAAAACAATCATCACTATTATCAACACAACAAAATCTCATAAGAACAATCTACTAAAATCACAGCTATCAACAACAAACATGCAAAAAAAAAAAAAAAAAAAAAAAAATCTCCAGGATTCCATTAAAACTAGCTAATGAGAATTCTAACAAACACATATCGATTTCTACACAAACGGAGAAGCGCGATTAACAAGATAAGATAAGATTAAAGCAAAACAGAGAAGAGATTAAAGAAATTTACCGGCGGGAAAGATCTCAGTTTCCGATCAAAAAATGGCGGAGGAGATTAAGAAGATGAAATCGAATTTGAGAAGAAGAGCTTTGTCTCGCACAATCGTCTCAGAGTTTTTATAGTCAAATTCGAATCATTGGGAATCAAAAGGGGAAATGAAATTAAAAAACAAAAACAAAAAATCCCCAAAATTGGATTTTATGAACGTTGCGATAAAAATGGTAAGACATTAACGCAGTAAACATGGAAACCAGAGTACGTGGATGCGATCGTGGTTCATATTCCTCATTTCGTCACTCATTTTTTGTTTGAAGATTTACTTACTTTAAATCAATACTTTTTAATGTATACTGACTAAAAATGATATTGAAAAATTGTTTTTGTTAGATAAATAAATGATACGAGTATATATAATACATGCTAAATTAGATTATGAAATCGTACGTATACATAACTTACCCGATTCGGATTATTAATGTTTTGAAAGTTTTGGCAATTTTTATGGATTCTTGTTTCCGATAAAAAAATTAACAAACTTGTTATGTATTTTCTATATTTAAAAAACAATAAAAAAAATTCGACATTTAAAATTTCAAATCCATATTCGAATCTCCAAGTTACCACTAATTTAGAGCATATATGTAGGAATTTATAAATAATAAATGTCAAAAAGAAAATGTAACTTGGTTTTGAGTAATTAATTAATTACTCGTAGTTAACTTTGCGGAAAGAAAGATCCCATTTCGCAATACGTGGGAAAGAAACGTGGTCGTAATGTGCATAATTAAATTAAATTGGATGATTTACTTTATTTTAATTAACCGTCCAAAAACATTTATACATTTTGAGAACTATAATTAACAACGTCATCTGAATGGAATGCTCATGATATTCATGAACAGTTGTAGTGTCTTTAATCAGTAACCAGCTCAAGTAAAGTCGCAGAGAACAAGTTAAGTGGGTGTTATTGAATAATGTATTTCAATGTATTTTAATGTATTTTAAATTCTGCTGTTATTCAATTATGTATTTGATAAAGTACAACACAATCCACTGTTATTCAATATGAGTTTGATTTTGTTGTATTTTGGTTGGAAAGGATTTTAATGTATTCTTTTGTCTAAAACATGAGTAAAGCAAATACGTGCCTTTTCTCTCTGATTTTGATGTACTTCATAGAAAACTATAAGAAAATAAATATTTTTAAAATTATTTCTTCTTCTTCCATCTATAACCGAGAACCTATAAAGCACGTAAGGAATTTAAATGATGAATAAGTGCAAGATCCACCATGGCATCTTCAAGCGGAGAACTTTGCTGGGAAGGAGGAAGAAGAAGAACAACGATCATGACTTTAAAAACAGAGAATCAGATGCTTCATTAGGAAGATAAATCCACAGATCCCTTCAACATTTTATTTGCAACATACTAAATCTTTTATGTTTTTTGTTATTTTGATCCTTTTCCTACGAAGAACCGATATTGCCGTCTCGGAGTCGTCACGAAACAAACATAATCTGTAGATCTGATTTTTCTTTTTTATAATACAGAGCAGTTACTTTTTTAAATTAATGACTATAATCTGTAGTGAAAATACATTAAAATCCATCGGTTTTGTAATGAATCTATCAAAATCCTTTTAAGTACTTTCAAATTCATTTACTTTAAAATACATAGAAATCATCAATTCAATAACACCCCCTAATTTAGTAGGTCATTGGGCCATAAGTGAATTAGGCCCAAAAATGTTAGTGGGTTTCGTTTGGTAACTTAAATGGGTCATAAGTGAATTAGGTCCAAACATCTTAGTGGGTTTCGTTTGGTAACTTAAATGGGCCATTAGTGAACTAGACCCAATAGTGTTAGTGGGTTTCATTTGGTAACTTCAAAGTAAAGTAAGATGGATTCAGTTTGTGGATCTTTCTTACATTTTTTTGGTGTGATGTCAAAAGGTAAAAGAAATTAAGAAACTAGTTGTTATCAAAATAACAAGGTTCAAATTATATATTTGAGCCTTTTTTTTTTTTTTTTTTTTGAGCCTTTGTATTCTTAGTTTTAAGAAAAGCACTTCCTAATCGACTAAAAAAATGCATTATGAGGATTTTTGTAATTATAACACCTTAAACTAATATTAGAAATCAAATGATTAATAATCATGGTTCTGATAAGAATTTTTCCAAATTCAATAATTGAATAACAAATATTTAGTTTCTTTTAGATTTTCGAATCATTAAATTTTAGAATCAAACAATTGATATATATATATATAAAATCAAGAATCCGAGTTATTAAACATAGTCCATGCTCGTGTCTTCTTTTCATTTTTTTTTTTTAATAAAATTTCTGGTATTATATACAACTTCCACGATTACATCGAAAGAGAAAAATAGGTGCCACAACGAAAACGAACTCCGGGATGAACAAACCCGGTAAAGTGACCATAAGGAAAATGATACAATATATATAAAGATTAGAAAAAGAGTCCTCTAAACCATAGATTAAGCATGCTTTGCAAATTTGGAATGTCTTTTCTCGTAAGGCAAATGTTTCGGATTCGCCTATCAAAGATAGGGAAAAGAGCTTCTTTTTCTTGTTCTTGAAAGGTTTGAAACTATCAAGACTAATCCTGACATTGTTAGGTCAAGAGCAGAGAGTTTCTATGAACGATCACAAATCTAAAGCAAATCCAGTACTAAAAGGGAGACTTGATCTTAAATCTATCAAGTACCAACACATATTGACAAAGCAAAGACATAGTTGCATAATATTGATATTAATAAACTAATTAATCCTTAAGACGTAACAAATGAAAGAAGCTTATAATATATGAGTTTCTTTGTCTACTTCTATTTGTTCTTTTTCGTTGCCAACTTTAGTGTTTGACATTTCATAATAAATCAATCAGAGAGACCTTTTGAACAAATAGATTTCCGAATCTAAAACTAAACGCTTCAATTTCGTTTTCCTTGTAAACTAGGAAAAATTTGAGTTAATTCGCCCTATTTTATTTCTTCGGATTCAACCCTAACTCTTGAATGTTAATATTTTTTTTGTTTAACAGCGAATGGTAATTTCTTTTTACCATGAGCAAAAATATATTCGAATCTAGATGATATCTAATACATAAACCAATAGGTATTATTAATACTACGTACATGTTACTTTCTACTTGAGAATTACAAATTGTGCAAATTTTTTTTTTTCCTCTCACGTTACACGGGAAATACGGATCCATCAAACTATTTCTTATAGAGATTTGGATCTTGAGCAATGAAAAAGTTCTTATAGTTATACCCTAATCATGTGCATGTGTACATATATAATTCCTATAAACTATACTTCAATTAAGTATAATTTTGTCATGTGCATACACATATAAATGAATGATTTCAAAGATGCTTCAATCATGGGGTAATGGAAGAAACTAATTGTATCTTGCCTGTCATTTATCAAATAGATTATTACATTAGCCCACGTGGTTTTTTTTATCATTTTTAAGTGTTGAATACTTCAACACTTCCAACATAGCTTTATGTGTTTTTCTTAACCTAGAACACCGCGGCTGCGCAAGACACTATACCCTTAAAAGAGACAGATGTGTCTCTCTTTTGATAACTATTTCCAAGCACTTTATTTTCAGAGTAAATCAAAAATGTTGTAATAATGCCATAACTAATAAGTAATCCAACACTATATATAAAATATAATCAAATCAAGGGAAGATCTTAGGTTGGTGCATGCCATACTAATTAAGTTTAAGTTTAATTAACCAACATACAAAAAAAATGAATGAAAAGATTTTTTTCTAAACAATGATTGAACCCACCATATAAATTTGTGGATGAGTGCAAAACTCTTTGTTTATCTTTGATAATGAATTACTTAGCGAGAGTTTTTTCCAAAACGAATCAAGATCTTGTTTGAATACATTCTTGTTGGGTGTTGGCAATATATTTTGGGAGACTACACGAAGACGATATTATTAAGTTATCTTGAAGATTTCGTAATCTTTTCTTAACCCTACATACATGTTAATTATAGTACTCGACCTAAAAAGGGAATATTATCATGTCATAATTAATGGAAGATGGATTAAATTTATAAACTAGTTGATTGATCAAAATTTCAAATGAAAAATGAACTGATAATATAAAAATTTATTGGTTTTTTTTCCTTGGTCTGTATTCAATTTAGTTTCTATGTATAATAAAATTGGTTACCTCTAGAAATACATGTATTATCGTTAAAAATATATTTCGCACAACTCATTCAGTATATCTTGTGTCTCTGATCTCAATAATACATACATACAATTTAGTAATAGATACACATTTCATCAAGATCTTTGAGATCATCAGTATTATCAGTATCAATCATTTTGTTTTTGTTTTTTTTTTTATGTATATAATTGATTGATATATATATCACCAAACAATATCTAATTGAATTTGGTTGCCTTTCACACGTACACATAAACTCCAGAGTTTTGTATATATGTATGTCTATATAAAATGACTTGTTTAGCCATTATACCCAAGTCCAAAGTCCAAACCCCAAACTCTCTCTCTCTCCCTCTCTCTCTAGAAGGTAAGCTTTCAATCTTTGACTAGCTCAAGTTTCTTCAATTCTTTTTTTTTTTCTTGAAAAAGCTTTGGGAATTCAAGAATTGCATAGTTTCATCTTCTTGGTTAATAGTTTCTTCATATGATTACCTATATGTTCAGATTTTTATATAAGAAGCAATCATGGCCACAACGAAGAACGTACTCTCTACCAGATGGACCTCCGAATTGGTATATTTCGATACATACGATATATATATATATATATGTCTTTCCAATCTTATGATTTATTTGTTACACATAATCATGTTCTTTTCCATATACTTTTCTATATAAATTTTTTTCATGAATCTTTATTATTTGCTTTTCCTATGTATAGGATATAGAAGAGTATAGTATCATCCACCAATACCACATGAATTCACTCGTTGGAGATTTTCCACAGTCTCTATCATCTCTTGATGATATTAACAACTCTTACAACTTCGACGCTTCTTGTAATAATGATTTTGTCGAAGAGAAGCCTTCAAAGATCCTTAAAACCACTCACATATCACCAAAGATACATCCTTTTTCTTCTTCCAATACTCCTCTTTCGACGAATCAGCCCTCTTCCAGGATTCTTTCTTTCGAAAAGACTGGTTTGAAGGTTATGAATCACAACTCACCAAACTTGATATTTAGCCCCAAGGAAGAAGAAACTGGATTACCGGACCAGAGAAAATCCAAGCTGGTAATAAGAGGGACAAAGAGGGCTCAAACCTCGACTCGAAGCCAAGCAAATGCTCAAGAACACATCCTCGCAGAGAGGAAGCGAAGAGAGAAGCTTACTCAAAGATTTGTAGCACTTTCCGCCCTAGTTCCTGGCCTAAAGAAGGTACATACATATAAAAAGAAAATTTCTTCTCTTCTTCCATAACCAAGTGATAATATATAGTCTTTTCTTAAATCACTCTATTTTGGGAGGCAAGAAACCAATTTTTGTGGACAGTTTCTCCCTTTTTTGCTTATGTCCCGGTTATGAGACTAAATTATTTGATTAGTATTAATTGACGTTAATTGTGAAACTCAAAATATACTAAAAATCCTCCATATACAAGTATAATGGTTATTAGAAAGATCATTTGCAGGATCAGCTTGATGGATATATTCATTTCGAATGAATTTAAAAATGTTTACATGCTATATACTGACATATGCATGTATGTGTTTATAGATGGACAAGGCTTCTGTGTTGGGAGATGCAATAAAGCATATAAAGCACCTCCAAGAAATAGTGAAAGAGTATGAGGAACAAAAGCAAGAAAGAACTATGGAATCAATAATTCTTGTAAAGAAGTCTCAGCTGGTTTTAGATGAAAACCATCAACCATCATCATCATCTTCCTCAGATGGAAATCGCGACTGCTCGAGCTCGAATCTTCCAGAGATAGAAGTTAGGGTTTCAGGAAATGACGTTCTTATTAAGATCCTATGCGAGAAGCAAAAGGGTAATGTGATCAAGATTATGGGGGAGATTGAGAAGCTTGGTTTGCTTATCACCAACAGCAATGTCTTGCCCTTTGGACCAACTTTTGATATCTCTATTATCGCTCAGGTAACTATATATTCTCATACAAACTAGCTTTTGAACATGTTCATTGTTATGTGAAAACATGAATCAATGTTATAGACCATGCATAGTAGAAGACTGGAAGCATGTTTCAGAATTAGTGTGACATTTTATTACTCGAAAAAATCTAATTATATATTGTTTATGCTCTTGCAGAAGAATAGAAACTTTGATATAAAAATCGAGGATCTTGTGAAGAACTTGAGTTGTGGCATATCAAAGCTCAAGTGATTGGTTTCAAGTATACATATACATGGTCACACTCATAATCATCAATTTCTCCGACCGCACGTCACCGAATAATCCAAAATCGGTTTTTTCCATGAAAATGGTTTTATAGTTTGTTGTATAGAGAAGGGTTCTTAAGTCATTAAAAGTTCCTTTGTCCTTGTGTTGTTTGAGTGTGCTTTAAGATACATGTCATCAAATGTTTAAGTATCTCTTTACTATCAGGTTTTGTTGGGGACGAATTATTTTTCGCAGTTGTTGGATTATATATTTCCTGCGATGTAAAGCATTTCGTTAGTTTAATAAACGTAAGGTATGTTTAAGAAAAGGTGTTGGAGTTTATATTTACAATTGCTGTAAAATGGCTTTGTGCAATAAAAGAGAACATAGACTTTCACAATTGAACAATTTATAAGACTTATGTTCAAAAGAAGACACTTGCTGAATTTGACACACATTTTATATTGTACACTTTCACAATAGAACAGTAAGGTTATATACGCTTATAAATTTTATACAAAGAATTCTGAACATATTTTTTTCTACATTTTAATATCGTATTTAATTGTATTTTAATATTTGTTGCATCGGTTTATAAATAATTTTAAAGGCTTATAATTAAATATATACAACTTTTTGTGGACCGTTACAATCTCATTTAAATCAATTTTCAACTCCACATGATTTAATTCACATCTTAAGGAAAAAAAGTGAAAAGCAAAAGTAATATTCAAGTGGGAAATTCCTAAAAAACAGGCGAGTAAAGACAAATGCATATGAGTTGTTATTAAATTGAATTGAAAACGTGGGAATTTTCATATTTTATTGGTAACCTTTTCAAGAAGGCAGTCAAATACTATATGTGAAAACCAAAAGTGTCCTATGGAGTTTGTCTTCGTCGGTTCCAAAAGTCCAAACCAAAATGCTTAAACTATGATTAGATAAGAGATAGAGTGAGAGAAGGTCACATATAAGGTTCTGTCTCTAGACCATATAATTGTCCTAAATATTGGGAAGATAAAGGTTTGCTTGTTCATATTCCAAAATTTATCATTTTTTTCTCTTAATTTTTTATTCAAATGTCGGAACTTGTTGCTCATTTGGTTTAGTTTCACCTCAAGAGTTCAAGTCATGTTAGAGAAGAAGAAGAGACAAGAAAATAACTGTTATTTTCTTGTATCCTCTCAAGAAATTCAAGATAAAATAAATTAAAAATATATATATGGTTAGTTCAAAATAAATTCAAGATAAAATAAACTAAATTTATTAACAAATTTCATACCTAAAATCTAAACTATATAAATGGTTAGTTCCCACTTCCCCTCACCTATGGGAATTATGAAGAGGGAAGATAAGACAAAATTGGAAAGGCCCTTACCATAGTTTGATTAGGACGACAATAATATCGATTGGTCCTATCGAAACTCATTGACAAAATAGTGTATCAAATGATAAGTTAAATACGTACGTAATAGATAATGACAAGAGAGTGTGTGAGATAATAAGATTGGTCAAGCTTGATTTATCATATTTTCGGCGGCATGCATATCCCGTCCACACCGCACCACCAACCGTAAGGTAACCATAGACCGATCGATACACATTTGTCTCACTTTATATCATTCAAAACAAAAACAAAAACAAAAACTTAATATATATTATCTAGATTTACGTATCCAAATTTTTCTTACAAAATCTCCATTTTAAAAGACATGTTGACCTTTTTAAAAGGTACTGGTGTGACTTCATTTCGATAAGTACGTACCAAAATCTTTTTAATTATCAAAATATATCGAGCCGATAGAGATGTACACACATATATAAGCATATAAATGATACGTAGTACGTATTATTACGTAAAAGAAGCTTCCAAACAAACAAATAGAGAATTACTTTATTAGACGATTGTTGCAAAAAAAATTCCAACGTTGCGACGAATTTTCAAAGACTACTTTATTATATTGTATAACATGTTTTATAAGCGTATATTCTGAAATGCTGATAATCAAACATTTTTATAATATGTTTTTGTGTTCACCGTCCATTGAGTTTAGTAAAATTTATAAACTATATTCGAAGAATGCTCTACATATTAATGTTTGTGGGGAGAGCAAACTAACAAAAAATAAACTTGCGACCGTTAATAATATCATTTAATTTCAGCCAATTTTTAAGAAAAAAAACTTGTAGTCTTGTGACCTTTTGTTAAATAATAAATTTAACATTTAAAATAAAAATTTATGGCCTACATACTCGGGGTGCCCTTAATATGAAGAAGTTTGTATATAGTGCGACATTAAACTCCGGTGTATCGGAAAAACAAAAGACTACGAGAAAAAAAGGAGATGTAACATAAACTTCGATCAATGTATTTGTTTGTTTACAACTTCAACGTATACATTAAATCAGGATCAAGTCAATGAAGTTAATTACCGGTAAAGCCATATGTATCCTAATATGTTATGTCCAACTATGTCAAATACGTCCCACGCATAAAAAGGATTTGCTTTTAAGTGGCCATGCATGGTCCAGAGAATTATTGCAGTGTTATCCTACAATTTTGGGCCGGATGTGTTTGTGAATGCAACACCATATAAACCTGGTTTGGCCTTTCCTTACCGCAGTTAAGACTAATAAATATCTTGTTTGGTAGAGGATGGTCTTTATTGGGACCAAATTGAGTTTTAAAACAGTTTCTGTGTGCGATAATTATCAAACACAAATTGTCATAAAAATTAAAATATTGTATAGATGTCGACATCCACATGTCATCATAACTTCTTCTGCAACACATCCCTCGATTTCATATCCACCATTAATAAATGGAGTCGAGATAAGTTCATGCATTTTCATATGCATTAAGAAATCACACTGGCAAATCTAATTATGGCAATTGAAATTATCATATATATAACCATATTTTAACGATAGTTTTTGTAGAATATGTGAAAGCATATCGGATCAGGTTTTGTTTTAGAATAAATAACTTCGTCATCTTTTTAGGTGTGAGGTTCGTATATGCAAAGTATTAGGTATTTGGATGTATGTAGAATTATTAAATGTAGATTATGACAATTATCCAAAATGTGGATAACACAATTCGTCAACATAGCTATGTCACTTTAACAAAAAGCAAAAAAAGCAAAAAAAAAAAAACATTGCTAGGTCAACCAGTGTGAAACTAGTTACTATCCCCAAAGATATATATATAGTGAACCTAATACCCCATTAGTGATTATATTATATCAGTATGACTTTTAGGTTTGATTGTTGGACCGAATAAATTTAGACAAGACTCTTTCTCAATTATTACAACATGTGAAGAAAACAAAAGTGCTTTAACAAAAAGAAGAAAACGAGTGTAGTAGTTATATATATCAGTCAATAAATGGCAATATATATACCACATAATTATTACATAGCTTAGAAAATTGGATTATACCCAAGAAAAGCTTTAATCACACACTCTAAAATACAAAAACAAAACAAGTTAATCTACTTTATAATTTTTTAACACTTATACTTTATAAAAATTCTATAGTAACAGCCATTTTTTCTTAGAATTGTTAATACTTAATATGAATTTAAGTTAATAATTAAAAACTAATGAGGGTGTTATGGATGGGACTAGGGGACTTATTTTCTTGGTCCTTGTTGTTTCCGAGTGGGGGAATATTGAGTTTTCGATACATCTCAACACGAAAAACACGTGCTTGTGTATGTCTCTCTTCTTCTCTTTACTTTTTGTGTTTTGTCCATAACACGTAAACGTATTGTTGTTGTTAAATGTTGATTTTGCATAGGAAAGGTATCCCAAATAAATGTCATAAGACTTTTGGGACGTTTGGAAAAGCTTCTTTTTAATACAAAAATATTTTTAAAAGCATTTATTGGTTGTTTGATGAAATGAAACCGTCGGAAAAAGAATAGTAAATTAGAGTAACTAATAAGAGGACCGTCGATTTTTTAGAATTTGACGGTAAAGAAGATTGGGTATATTATGTATTTTTTTTTAGTTTTGCATTTTACATTCTGTTTTCTGGATTGGTGAATAAAATGGCTAAAAACCAAAAATATATCTTCTAGTTCTAGCCCAAAAAATAAACAATAAATTTACAAAATACGTCTAGTTTTACCGTTTGCATAATTTTACCGATTGATTTGATTTGGTACATATATAGACCGTCTTTTTAAATTAACTAGTAAAAATAGTTTAGTCAAAACTGATAATTTCAAAATAAAAGTATATGTAGACAAATTTTTGGAAAAACGTACATTGTTTTCAAATTTTCCATTTAATTATGTATTGTGGCTCACACAGCCGTAGTTTAATGGTAAGGGAGAATTAGGGAAAGATCGGAAGCAACTAACTCAGGTTAAATCAATCCTGAAAACAAAAACTATTATTGTGTGGGAAGTCTGTCAATTAGACCAAGATCCAATTGGTTTACCTGGTAGTCAGAAATATAGGTGGTCTGACTATCCCTGACATTAGTCGGAAAGCATTCCAAACTCGGGACAGATAGTGTGGTGGCCTTTCAAGAAATAATCCACTTTGAAACAGTTTAGTGCGTTTCTACCGGGATTGAGCGGAAAAAAAAAAGAATTATGCATTGTGAGGAGCTTCCCCTTAACACGATTGTAAAAATTATTACATGAAAAGAAATATATTACATCATGGACTGTACGTGTGTTATGCATGTGTTCATATTTCTGAAAAATATAAGATCTAATTTAAAATTATTATCAATTCGAAAGAATATTTAGCTTTTATTATGCCGTTATAATTTTTCTTTACTTGTTGACGATGCAAACATTGTAATCTCATGGCTTCTCTCTAGAAGCCAACAAAATCGTACGATCATCATAGAAAAATAATATGTAGACTTCTGATTATGATCATACTTATTTTACATTAATACATGATAAAGTCACGTTTTTTGTATTATTATTGTATAAACAATCTGGTCAACGTAATTATAGGGGTGGAGAAAAAATGATTAAACACACAAAAACTAAGCCGCGTCTCGTTGTCAGTATATATATATAGAGAACACCTGAAAACACTTTTCTATATATTCATAAAAACCCTTTACTCAAAACTACAAGTAAATAATATTTTCACGATTTGTCTTTAATCTTGTCTTAATCAAGAAAATATTTGTATATTTCTTTATCGTTTGTTACTTAACATTCGGATATATGGAGGGAGACTTCATCACTTTACCCGATTTCTCACTAGAAGACATTGATTTCGACTTTAATATTTACGAAGCTGATGATATGATCATGGATTCACAGAGAGCTCAAGAACGTTCATCATCACATTTTGATCATCATCAAATGCATCTTGAGTTCCTTAGAGAGAAGCTACCAAAGTCTGCGGACGTGAAGCCTATGATGAAGATCATCAACAACAACAATGTCCCAAGATTGATTTCTTTTGATTTCTCTAGTAATGTTTCTTCTTCCCCAGCTCATGTGGATGAGATCTTTAGGGACAAATTAGTTGAACGTGGAACCAAAAGAAAGACATGTTCTCACGGGACAAGATCTCCAGTTCTTGCCAAAGAACATGTTCTAGCCGAGAGAAAGCGCCGCGAGAAGCTTTCTGAAAAGTTCATCGCCCTTTCAGCTCTACTTCCCGGTCTTAAGAAGGTATGTCAATATTTTCAAATCGTTAATCTCTATAAATAATATAGTTTCAATCGGTTTTGAGAATATGGAACTATCTTTGTGTTTTTTTGGTTAGGCGGATAAGGTAACGGTTCTTGATGACGCGATTTCACGTATGAAACAACTCCAAGAACAAATAAGAAAGCTCAAAGAAGAGAAAGAAGCAAAAAGAGAAATGGAGTCCATGATTCTTGTGAAGAGATCTAAAGTCCTATTCGACGAGGAGACTGATCTTTCATCATCTTGTCCTTCAGACAATTATCATAACCAATTATTCAATCAAGCTTTGCCAGAAATCGAAGCGAAAATATCTCAAAACGACGTTCTCATCCGAATCCACTGCGAGAAAAGCAAAGGGTGCATGATTAACATACTTAACACTATCGAAAATCTTCAACTGCGAATCGAAAATAGTATCGTATTGCCGTTCGGAGACTCCACTCTCGACATCACAGTCCTTGCACAGGTGATCATCTTATAATAACTATCTTATCTTATATATTTATATGTAATACTAAAAATGTAATTTCATTCAGTATATAACATTTGATGTTTTATTATATGGTGCAGATGGATAAAGATGGCTCGGTGAGTGTAGTTAAGGATCTTGTAAGGAACCTGAGAGTAGCACTGGTTAATTAGTATCTTCTTTGAAAGTTTTAGTAAACTTCTGGACTGTACAAATGTTTTCTTGAATGTGATGTCGTTGTCTTCTAGGATCTTTCTTTTTGTTTCTCACGTGTAGTTTCACGTGTTTGATGAATTTTCTAGGCGATGGTCATGTCTTTAGTGGTTGAAACTAAATTTAATCTAGATGTTTTGTTTTAATAAAATACTAATGTATATGTGTAATGTGTTCTCATATGTGGTCGAAACGTTTTTTGAGTTTGTTGATTAATCTAGCTAATTAAATGAGGTAAAATTAGGTGGCTATGTATTATGTTTAAAGTTAGTCTAGAATTAAAGGAAGTAAAATAAATTTGCATAGTAAATATAATATGTGTGCGAGGTGAATCGCCACGTACCTTGAACCGGTAGATTACACAACAACTAATTGGAGTAAAGAAAATCTTTTTATTGATTTCAAGAAATAGACCAACAATCTAATAAAAAAAATTGCTAATTTTTAAAATGAAATAAGATCGTTGTGAATTTTAGGATTCTTGAGTGTCAAAAACATTAAGGTTAATGATGTTTTTTGCTCCCCTTTTATACTCCAAGGTTTAGTTTCCTTAATTCGTAATATTTTCTTATTTTTTTGGAACATTCTTTTCCAGAAACATTACATTTCTTTTTTTTTTTTTGTTTTTTTTGCATTTTTTAACTAGTTATTTAGTTATAATTCGGAATTTATATTGGTTTGTTTTGGGTTAACCGGATGTTGCTAAATCACCTTCCTACAATATGCTATTTATATGATCAAAGTGCAATTAGCTTTTTTAAGATACAATCTAAATGTTGTATTTTTTTGGGATTTGTTATCTCTACATGACAGCAATATCAGTAATTATTTAGTAATCATATAGTACAATGATTTACCTTAAAAAAAGTCACATGCAAACATAATTACTAATAAGCATGAATTCATGAATGGGACGAACGTGACAAAATAGTACTGTAATTGCCGCACGACTGATTTATAAAATCCATTTTTTTTGTTCTTTTTTTTTACATCTTATAAAATCTATTTCTTGGAATAGGATACGCTTACCCCAAATCTAGGATACTAAAATAATTACAAGTTTTTTATAATAAAATAGCATAGATTTAGAATATAAAAGCTAAGCAAGCATATCACGATGACACGATTTTATTTGTTTCTTGATTTACGATCGCATATACACATAGTCATGGTCTCAAAGGTCAACTATAGCTTTGATTTTAAAATCAGAATGAATGACATGCACATCTTTTAAATGATCACATGAATCACGTTTTGATATATAGTTGAAACGATCATGGTTACTTATGTGACAACACGTCAAGTAGTAGCTACATCCCTTAACCCATCTTCTATATATGTGAAACTTTGATGGAGTAATTTATAAGTTGTGTTAAATTAGGGTTTGTTACGGGTTTTCAACTCAAAATTAATTGGCAATAAATGGATTGATCATAATTTTCTATATAGTATTTAAATTTCATATCTTTTAATGTGAGATCATTCTCTACATGTTTTCTCGAGATAATGGTTTTTTTATTCATTAATTTCGACAGAACCCATCACAACCCCTCGAGATAATGATTTTCTAGCTATTTTGATGGAGTTAGATATTCTTTTGGGCCAATAATTTATGGGGTGATCGAGTCTCTTATCAAATCTGATTAATTAATAGGTTAGTATGTATTCAAGCTTGATACCATGTTAAATTAGAATTTGTTACGGATTTCCAATTTTAAACCAATTAGTTATAAATAGATTTACTCTAACTCTTTATATATTATTTAAGTTATTGAAGATCTTTCTCCACATGTTAAATATAAAAGATTGGCTATCAAGATGATATTTTAATTTCTTGTTGTTTCCGATTACATCATAACATGTGTCAATATAACAGCTTATAAGCTAGTGAGCGATCCAAGAGGATCAGATTTGTTATTTACTACAACTTTTATAAGCTGGCATCTTCCAATTCCATGCATTTAAATTTGGTGTGAACGTGAGTGTAAAATGCACAGCTAGCTCCTAACCAAATCTATTGACCTTATTATTGTTTGGAAACGAATCTCGATTTACTCAAATTTCAAAGATGAATTATGTTCACTTTTTTTTGGTGTTTATATTAATTAGGGATAATTTTTAATGTAATGGTTGAATTAATTTTACAGTCGTTCAAAAAATATAAACAAATATGAACATAATTTTAATGTTAGTCAATTGTTACACATGATGACTTAGCTCATACGGTGGTGACGAGCTGATTGCTCGAAATTTACTTTAAAACTTATGATTAACACATTTAAAGACACACAATACCACTATTTTCTTTTAATATCATAAAACAAACACAATCATTTATGTATATAATCCAATACAGTAAAACCTCTATAAATTAATAATGTTGGAACCACAAAAATACTATTATTAATTTATAGTAGTATTTTTAACTCTGAAAGTTTTTTGAAAATATGAACTGGAAGAATTTTACAAAAATAAGTTTAGTTTTTAAAATTATATAATTTCTTGTAGTTTGGAACTGAATTCTATATTAAGAAAAATAATTTAACAATAAATTAAAAAATTAATAAATAAATACAATTATATTCAAATATATGATTAAAACCTCAATTTTTATCTTTTAACATCCTATAAAACAAAACAAAAAATAAATATGATGCATATTTATAAACAGAAAACATAAAGAAAATTTTGGTTTATTTGTGAGGCTATGGAGTATATTATACGATTATAGTTTAAAAATATAACATAAATATTTTTTATAAAGATGAGATCTCTATTTATATATAAAAATTATTACTAATGTATATAACCCAATATTTTCTAGAGCTGAAATATATTGTCGTGGAATTAGAAATTAATTGTATATGCTTTCGTAATATGTTTTGATATAAAAACTCATATGGGAACAGGGATGCGAGAAATCACGTGTTTGCTATATTCACGTAGTCAACATCACCTGTAATTGTAATCGTCACTAAATAAATATATAAAAATTGTCATCATCGTGAACATTTAATCAATCGTCGTTGCATATGTAAATTGCATTAGTTAAATCAAAGTCATTAGTAACCATTCATATATTAATTAAAAGCCTTGGGACTTGTCGACAGGGTATATAGTCTATTAATTATTTGTACATACTATATATATTAGCTATTTAAAAGAGAAAAAATTAACCTGCAAAAGACTTGAAAATTGTACAATTTTAGATGAATATATAGAACTATTTCCTCAATATAAATGCTATGCTAAAATTTCAGAAAATATATAAAAAATCCAGATATATCATCACCATCAATATAAAATCTATTTTGAAATTGGGTTCTAAAATTTTTTTTTACTAATTTAATTTAACTAATTACATTAAAAGTTAACATTAAAGGTATTTCGAATTAAATTATTTATGTTTCGTCGTAAAGCATAATTGTAGAGCTTTTTGAAGGTACAATAAAAATATATAATTCTAGACCAACTCATGACGAGTTCATTAGGCAGTAGATTCATTTTCTAGGTTGATAGATCTCTTAATTAGTTAATTACTAAATAAGAACAATTAATTAGTAGACGTAAACAAAATTTACTATTTCGATACTTTATGAGGCAGAAAATAGAAGTCTCACATGATTCACGAGGTTAGGAGTTAGGACGATGGTTCCAGAGAAATAGCTTTTCAATTTAATCATTGAAGGCCTTTTAATCGAATTCATATATTTATTTTTATATAAGTCAAAACTATATTTTTATGCAAACAATGTAATATAAATAGAACAATTATCTAAACCATAGTATGTCATTTCCTTTAGTCCAAACCGTATCACTTTTTATTTTTTTGACATCAGAAAGGTCCTAAATTAGCTCAATGGAGCCAACTCAAAGAACAATTGTTAACGTACTTGACAACCTGCGGAGAGGATCGCACATGACGAGCCAAAGAGTCCGTTTTTACATTCAATTTTCTTGGAATAGGAGATAAATAAAAAGTTGAGAATTCTTCCGTGTCACATATTCACATATATTTATAACTCTAAATTAGATAATTTATTATGGACATATTAATTCGATTCAAATACTAACATGTAACAACAGTAACAACAACAAATGTGTATAACAAGTTTTATAAATGTATATAACACTGCTAATATGTAATCCAAATACAAGGTTCCATGATTATAGTAAACATATATTTATTGAAATATTTAGGAAAATAGCTTATACCATGATAGAAACCGCAACAAAGTTCTTTTGTCAAAAAAATTCTCCGCATGTGGGTTAAACATATACGACCAAATAATTACTTTTTTTTGTATGATTATGTTTATTGATTTTCTATAAAAGTTTTGAATATAATTTCCCTATCTATATTTTGTTTTTTTTGGGACAAAATTCCCCTATTTATTCTATCAGTTGCATATTTTGGAGGGAAAAAAACGAAATTCCCACGAGCGAATTAATATAGTGATAAAATTATTACATTTACTTTGTCCAATGTTTAATAATTTATATGTAGTAATTAAACATTTCAATATTTTATATCATGAAATAGATTAGATATCAACATAAATTTATATAATTAAATTTACTGTGGAAGAAAATATTTGCATAAAATAATTTAATTAAAAGTTATATATATATATCATTGCTATACATATATATTAAAATAATTATAGGTCCAATGGTCCACAAAGAATGCACCTAAATTAAGCACATTTATTAAGTCACACCACACCTGTAGTTACTTATTTAATATGGCTAGACAGATTTAAAGCCTCATATAAAATTACTTAAACAAGTAGGAGTTATCAAATTATTTTCTGTATATAAGTATAAGATCTATCTACGTCATGGAGGATCTGTATTTTTCTTTTAATACTAGATGATGTCCCTTGGATAATTATAAACATAGTATTTTCTTATAAAAAAAATGTGTTTGAATATTTTTTGTGACTTAAATAAATTAGTTATCATTAGAAAAATTTAAGAGCTATCAATAAATAATCGTAACCACATTCGAACATCAATGCATGTAGAAAGAACAAACCCACATTGTGCATATGATCACATTTGTGATAGAAGAAGCACTTGTACTTCATGCATCATTCAACAACTACAATTTTTTTTCGTCGCAGTAAGAAACACATGTGTTTTTGTGTTCATTTGATCGTCACAGCAGCAAACACTACATTTTATAATTCGAACATCGATTTAATTTAGTGGTTAAAAACGTTGCGTTTACCACAACCAGTATCGTTGCTACAACAATTTGTGACGATCAAACAAACATGCCGTATATTACAAAGCATTTTTTTGTTGGGTGATTACTGATATAAGTAACCAAGTACTTTTATTACCGACTTATTTTTTTGAAATGTATATTCATCAAATAACTTATCGGGTATTAACGTAAAACATGATACACTATTTTGACTAATGATCCAAATGGAAATTATTAAATAATTTCGCTTATGAAAAAGAGTAGATCTCTGTAATTTTAAATTTTTTCATATTTTCATATATATATATATATACACTTTATCTACATTTCTATCTAATCCGTCCACGTGATCGAGTGTTCTATTCTTACCTAAGTCACAGACTAAAGCTATATTATTATTATGTATCATCAACATGGATTCATTTAATGTACGAAACATGATTTTCAATCTTTTAATTTTAAGATCTTGCTACATATAGTTTTCCAAGGTCAGATCTCAAATCTCCACCCAATTAATTCTAATTTCAACCAGAACGATATCCACATTTAATTTCTTTCAGGACATTATAAGTTTCATTTTCAACGCATATATAAAATTCTCAAGCCGATTATTATCTATGATAAAAATATATTAATATATATATAAATAAAAAATCAAATCATATAGATCCACTATAAAATTGATAGCCGAAAATAAAATATTAATGCAAAACCTACCAGATCGATAACACATTATAAATTTATTTTCAACACAACAAAATAATATTAAAAGAAAGAAAAAAAATCACAAAGATCCACTATAAAGAGTTCACTCGTCCACATTGACATAACAACAAAACAAAATCATATTTACTCCAAACCAAAAGAAGAAGATCTAAAACTATATTCCTCTTTCTATATATTCTTTTTGTTTTGTCTTTCTTGTTCTTGAAAGAAAAGTAAAAAAAAAGAAAGAAATGGAGGATTCAAGCTTTATGGATTTGATGATCGACACAGATGAGTATCTTATCGATGACTGGGAATCCGATTTCCCTATATGGGGGGAGACTAACAACACCAAACCCGGTTCCGAGTCCGGATCAGGAACCGAAACCGGGTTTGAGTTGGTAGTAGAGAGACCAACAAAGCAAATGAAAACAAGTACAAACAACAAAATGAATACAACAACATCTTCTTCTTCTCCCTCGTCTTCTTCTTCTTCGGGTTCGCGCACTTCACAAGTGATCTCATTCGGGTCTCCGGACACCAAGACCAACCCGGTCGAGACATCTTTGAACTTCTCCAACCAAGTAAGCATGGATCAGAAAATGAGGTCCGAAAGAAAAGATTGTGTTAGTAATGGAGGAAGAAGAGAACCACATCTACTGAAAGAACATGTTTTGGCTGAACGAAAACGTCGACAAAAGCTCAACGAGCGTTTGATTGCTCTCTCTGCTCTTCTCCCTGGCCTCAAAAAGGTCAACCATCTCTTTTCTCACCAAACTTTAGATATTTGCGTTAAAATCTCATTTCTATTATTTATATATTTTTTACTAATAAACAAACAAGAGCCTTAAATTTGTAAATGTAGTAAACTTCAATGTCAAACATAAGAAAAATGTTAAAAATTATATGAAGTTCTGAAAATGTTTTTATCGTAAAAAATGTTTTTTCCGGATGGTGACACAATGTTTACTAAATTTTTGTTTGCTATGTGTGTGTAGACGGACAAGGCAACAGTTCTTGAAGACGCGATCAAGCATTTGAAACAACTTCAAGAAAAGGTAAAGAAGCTCGAGGAAGAGCGAGTCGGGACCAAGAAGATGGACCAATCTGTTATATTGGTCAAGAGATCACAAGTATACTTAGACGACGATTCTTCCTCTTATTCATCTACTTGCTCTGCTGCTTCTCCTCTGTCTTCATCATCAGACGAAGTTTCGATCTTGAAACAAACGATGCCCATGATCGAAGCACGAGTTTCGGACAGAGATTTGCTGATTAGAGTCCATTGTGATAATAACAACAAAGGTTGTCTGATCAAGATCTTGAGTTCCTTGGAGAAGTTTAGTCTTGATGTAGTCAATAGCTTCAGTTTACCCTTTGGAAACTCAACTCTCGTTATCACTATTCTCACTAAGGTAACTCTTATTACATATTTTTGATTCATTACTAATGCATATTAAAAGTTTTTTTATACAAATTGTTTTGTTTTACATATGTGTAGATGGACAATACGGTTTCACAACCTGTTGAGGAAGTGGTGAAGAACATAAGACTTGCCTTAGCCGAGTAGCATTGTTTTAAAAACGTGCGGATTTGGCTTGTCGTCGCCAGTATTGACCAGATCACTCGGTTTAGTTGTTGTATAATGAGTATAGTTGGATAATAATAATAAAGATCAGAAATAGCCACGTAATATGGGATTTTGTCGTTTGTTACGATTGAGTGCAAAAGCTGGATTAGTATGTGTAACCTAATCATGACTGTATGATTGGTTTTGCTATATATATATATATATATTTTTTTTCCCATTATTATTGGTTTGTTTGAATAAATGAAAGCAGAGGAGTTATTGAATATTTCTAATATGTATTAATTATTTTCTGATCTAGATTTAGATAAAAAAAATTTTAAATTTTAAACCAATTGTGATTATTTTGAATTATATACTTTTATCCCACTATTTATTTCTTCCTATTATCTTTTTCATTGGTCGACCACATGCCATATATATTTTTTCATGATCATTAAAGTATTAGTTTTGAATATTTTAAATATACTATTACATCCACTTCTTTTTACGATGAAAAATAAAATCATTGCTCATTTAGCCATTTTGCAACATTAAGCACACATATCTTGGTTATGTTATTTTATTTTATGTATTAAGTTTTTGATATATTATTATTATTTTATATATATATATAATATATTAATGATATAAGCATCTGAATAAAATTAATATAAAATAATTGAAATTATCTCCATTAAGCACAAATCAAATTTTGCTATATATTATTATTTGAATATATTTGTTAGTATAATATTTTAAAATAATTCTGACACAAAATATATATATTGTATAGATTTCATTTGAAACTGTCTCCATTAAAATTGGTGGTTTACGAACCTGTTGTGGATAGAGCTATGACAGAACATCACCATTTAACTCAAATAATTGTGTCTTGCCAGTGTTATAATTTTTCCACAAGAAAATGATAAGACATAAAGACATATCGTTGATTGGAAAATTATTAAGACAAAAGACATAAAGTTACGTACGCACAAACAAATGTCTAATATAAAGGCAAAAAAAGTGATTGCAGAAACTGTTTCCTAATAGCAATCTACGTACCAAGCGAGTCTTAGTTCAGTGGTTACCAAAACAAAGATGTATGGATGAGTTTGGTCTATAGAAGACTAGAACTCTTCAAAAAATAACCATTAAGTTTGGTCTAGAGAAGACCATCCATTTGGGATTTACATTGAAAAGGCAGACCAATTCAGTCATGGGTGAGGTGTGTTTGTGAATCGACGTCGTCACTTCAAGGTGAGTTGTTGTTTTTGCTATCTTAAAGGTTCCAAGCTTTACATCTCTCATTGAGTAAGAGACAAGAGTAGTGGTTAGTCTTCTCCAAACATATGCACTGTTAAATTCCACAAGTTAAATTGTGGTTGGTGGCTAGTAGTCCACTAATAGTAACAGCCACATAAAAGAAGAGTAGGTACGTATCATTATCGTATCTGCCCGTATTGGTACGTAACACACTTCTCTATGTAAATACGTATATCATCAATAATTATGGCTTCGTCATTCACAATAAAATAAAATATCACACTACTCAACTTCATACCAAATAGAATTTAATTTTTTTCAAGTGTCATGGTCACACTCTACCTAATCCTTAAGATCTCTTTTGATGTAAAGGTTCCAAAACATTCTCAAAACACTAAGTACTCCCGTAGATCAGCTCATTCTGGCTTAAACATCAAAACCGCTGCAGAGGGCGTCACACACTCACACTTGTATTCCGAATGACTTTGCTCGGACTGTTTATTTCATGATTCATGTTTTGGTTACGTCCTAGTTCTAGCTAGCTTCTCAAAGATGCCCATGAGCAAGCAAAAGACAGAAACCAAATTTTCACACGGGTACTAGGTGATCACTGCTTCCACCGATGGTGTTATCCTCATCTTTATGATTACGAAAAACTCTATTTACCTTAGACGTATCCAACGTTCTATCATCAAACTCTATAAATGGTTCATATAAAAGGAACATTAAACAAGTTGAAGAAAAGCACCATTACAAAGAACATAAGAATATAAAAAAGGTGACAAGATTATTGCTCTGTTCTCACTTTCATAACCCAATTACATATCAATTTTGTAAACGTTCACGTATCTAAGAACAGACTGGTTGGACCGAACGATACAATAATTTCATGATTTTACCTAAAGGAGATGAGATTCTTGAACCTTTAAGATCGGTTCACAGAAAACCCGCACGAGCTTTTATTGCGAGGCGTTGTTCTTATTCCAAAACTATTACTATTCCAAAACCATCACTTTAAGTGTTTATTCCAATCAAGTGATCTTATTTCTTTGCAAAGGTAACACCTTTCTCAATACTTCCTGAAAGCTCTTTCTTTGCCTTCTCTAATCCCATCCTGATCAATTAGCAAAAACAGAGGGCAGAAAACGGATATGAATATATGAAATGGTCGAAGTAAATTCAAGAGATCAGTTTGACCAAGCTTTCCACTTTTACCTCTCGTATTCGTTCAATGGTCCAAGACCATACACTTCGTCGATCCCACATCGTCCCAGACGCACCTTTGATGCGAAGAAGGGAAGCTCAGTCACCTGTATGATGAATAAGAAAAGTTCATGTGTTCACGTTGTTAAGGCTTAAGAAATTTTTGAAATACAATATTATAGAGTTGATTTTCAGGACTGTACATGAGATGCCACAAATGCACATTCAACGATGTTTGCATCCCCTCGTAGACCCCTGAGGCAAGCATCTGCAAACTTCACTGCTGCATAGGCCTGTATTTTTACATTCAAATGTGTTGAGAGATTGAAATATAAATTCAAGTCCGGGATTCATCTGAAACTGCACATTACAATGAAGACCTACCATGGATAGTGTTGCAGAACCTGCCCCAGCTTTAGCCTGCAAATTGATTCAAATGGTAAATGAACATTTTGATTTGAAGTAAATAACAAAGAAAGCTGAAAATTTGGCTTATACCTCAACAACTTCAGTGCCACCGTTTTGGATGCGGCCTGTGAGATATTCGATCTCTTTTTGAGTGAATGAACAAGGAGGTTTCACCTGTAGCAGACATAATGAAGAGCATATAATATCAGCTTCGAACAAACCCGAAGATCAACTTCACATGAATCATCTCAAACCTGAGAAAGCAGCGGTAAAATCGTAACTCCTGCGTGACCTCCAACAACCGGAACATCAACTTCCCGGGGATCAAGGCTCATTACTTCTGCCTGTTTAAAACCAAAAACGCTCGCTGAGTTCTAACTTCTAATAAATAATGCCACAGACCAACCTAAAAGCCCATGTCATAACCAAATTCTGTTATAGGGCTAGCAAAATATCAGATCACAATCGATGTACAGAAACAAAGAGAGAACTGTGAGTGCATACCACAAAAGTATTAGCTCTAACAACATCAAGCATAGTGACTCCCATGAGTTTCTTAGGATCAAAGGTTCCAGCTTTCTTAAAAACCTCAGCTGCGATTGGCACTGTGGAGTTCACAGGATTACTGATTATATTAACAACCGCTTTAGGACAACATTTGGCTATAGCTTCAGAGAGTGTCCTCACAATCCCAGCATTAATGTTAAACAGATCATCCCTCGTCATCCCTGGTTTCCTCGGAACACCAGCAGGTATAATCACTAAATCCATACCCGTAAGTGCTTCTTCTAACTGTGGTTGACCGAGAAATCCACGAACCTGAATCAAAAAAGTTCCAAAGACATGATATTTGAGCTCATTTCTCTCTATTATACCATTATCTAAGTACCAATTTCAAATCATAGCCGTCCGAAACACAAAAGTTTCGTCCTTTCAACCATCATAAGCCTTAAAGGCCTAAACTTTAAAACTTACAATGATCTTTAGCTCAGTTCTCTATGTATCTAAGAACCAATTTCACATTATAGCCATCCAAAACACAAAAGTTTCGTCCTTTCAACCATCAAAAGCCATAAAGGTCAAAACTTTAAAACTTACAATGGCACTAGTGTCCATGTGACTAATATCAGCAGTAACACCAGGAGCGTTAGCAACATCATAGAGATGAAGAACCGAAACCAAAGGATTCATCTTCATCAACATAGCAAGAGGTTGACCAATCCCACCAGCTGCTCCAAGTATCGCCACTTTGAATCCGGGTGATCCGCCTTTTGCACGACAACCCACCCGATTCAAACCCGACCCGTCAACCATCTAAACACAAAAATCGGATCAAACCAACAAATCCGATCACCAAATTGGTTAAGAATAAAGAGAAATTTGAACCTGATCGTCAAGGTTAGGAGGATTGAGATGAGCTGAGATTCTCGCGATACGTTGGTTTGGATCCATAGCTGAATCAAAATTGAGGTCTGGTTATGCGATCACGGAGAAGGATGGGGTAAAAGGGTACGAGGAGATTTGTAGTATAGAGAGATAGTGATGTGAAAAATGGATTTGAAGATGACGTGAAGATGGATCCAAGTTATGGTATTGGGAAGCGTGACAAGGAACAGAGCTTATCTATTTTAGGAAGTGATTTATTTTGAGACGGTACGATATATTCCGGTACAATTTTAGTTCACCATCATATCTTATAACTTTGACTGCTTTGTGTTATTACTGTCACGGTAAAAATTATGTTCATGTAAAATCAATGCTAGCTTTTAACGAGAATGTGATCTGGTTTAAGGTAGTGTTTGATCTGATATAATTTCTATTTTTGCAGACGGATTCTCAATCTTTAGAGACAATGGCGCGTTTGAATGCTCAACATGAAGACATAGAAATGAATAAAGATGCGGAAACTCCAGGACCAACCTAAAGTGAAACGCAATCTACTCAAGTAGCTAATACGGTATTTCACTCTAACAAACGCTTGAAATCTTATGTTTGGAAAGAGTTTATACCAGTGGTAGGAGTAGAATCAGATGGAAAACCTAGAGGTCGTTGCATGCATTGTAATAAGAAGCTAGTTACAGAGGTTAGTCAAGGAACATCCGCCTTAAAACGTTATTTACTTATTTGTCCAAAGAGACCTCCAGGGTTGAGTGAAGAAATTGAGTATGATCACTTATTTGTTCTTTTTGACAAAACCACATTGCTTTATTGTTTTACAGATTCTAAAGAGATATGAGAACAACCAGAAGAGGAAGAAAGAGAAGATAATTGTTGCTTTATAGCTTTGTTTTGTTGCTTTATAACTTCTGATACTCAATCTATATTTTGTTGGTTTTTTGTAGAATTAATACATTTTTATTGAATTTTTATTAGTATAATTTTTATTGAATTTTATTAGTATAATTTTATAATTTCTTCATATAACATAAATTTATATATTTGCCACATACAATAAAAGGCACAAAATCCCTACTATAATAAAAGAGAAGTACAAAAGTACTTCCGGGTCGGGTAAAAAACAGAAAAATAATCCGAAATTATAATGATGGATACTTAATTTTTGGACTAAAATTCGGATATGGACATTAACTATTAAAAAAAATCAATTACTAAAAATTCCCCTTATTTAGGAAACTATAATAATGATATATGCATATTTTAGAAATCTAAATTAATTGTGTATATTTAAATATAAATGGTGAATAACAATTGCACATTTTAAGGTAATTACGTTTCTCATCACCTAAAAAATATCTTAATATTTAGATAATATTCTAATTACCAAATAAGTTTGTAATCTTTGATATAATGGTTAATCATTTGGAAATATGATTAAATACCCACCCAAAATATTAAAGTTTCCTAATACAGAATTAAAGGCTACGATTTAATTATCCATTTTAAAATGAAAATATGAATATTTAAAATATATAAATTTTCAAAGAAATTATGACGAAGAACATTAGCATGTTCAATTTAAACATCTA